TATATAGGGTAATTACACCACCCCATTGAGGTATGATCAATTTACGAAAAAAACCCTCTTGTTTGAATAATTACATCAACCCTCTCAACTATGATTTTATCTTACACCTCCAACCGTATAGTGTCAAAATCAACACAATCATCTAGATTTCGTGGAATGTGCTATAGTTCGTACTCGTTTTGTGTAAATATACAGTTTCTGATGCACCACAATCTGATACATACAAGCCAAGAAACATAAATTATATCATCTTGCTTCAAAATGTGGAGCTTGAATGGGTTAAAACGAGTACAAAAATGATAATATTTCATATAATACCGAAGATTCCATTAAATTTGAAACCGCAAGGGTGGACGTGTAAAAAGATTTATAGTTAAGGGGTGATTGTAATTACCCAAACAAGAGGGAGGTGTTCGTAATTTGACCATACCTCAGGGGGTTGGTTGTAATTTACCCATATATATTGATATGGAAGTATACAACTAGAATGTATTTATTAATGGAAAAGTGTCATGAATAATCGGATGGATTCTTGAAAATTGATATTTGTGGCAAAGTTTGTAAATTAATCTAAAAATCATAAATTATATTTAAATTAACAAAATAATATGATTAATAAATCAGAATTTACAAAGATAATACAAATTTTATCAACTTTGTTTTGATTAAATTAAATCTAAAAAAAATATAAAATATTGAAGTTTCTGATTGTAAATTATTTTCAAAGTGATTTGCAAATCAGTATTGAATCTTCCGTGACACGAAAGTATTTAAAGCTGCCTTTCCGAGTCATTGGGACAATTTCGGTATTAAATTATTTTCCGAGATATTAATTATTGAATAAATAATAATTATTCTTCCTAAAACCTCTTATTTTCTCTCTCTAAGGTTTAGAACACTCTCTTCTCTACCTGAGCAATTGATAACCAATACCAATCCAACAATGGTTGATAAATCGAAGAAGCGATTCATCGGCGAAGACGACGTATCCACTCTGTTACAGAGGTAAAATTTTGTTTCTTAATCTGTTTTTTTGTTTTTCCTTTTTCGGAAGATTTTTTTTTTCTTCGTGTTATAGTGTTTACTTCGGTTACTTTCCTTTAGATACTCCGTGAACACGGTTCTCGCTTTGCTGCGGGAGGTGGCGCTGGTGGACGGAAAGAAAATTGATTGGCGAGAAATGGTGAAGAATACGGCCACCGGAATTTCCGGTGCAAGGGAATATCAGATGCTTTGGCGCCATCTCGCGTATGGAGAAACCCTAGCCGATCAATTCGACAATCACGAAGCGATCCCTATGGTGAGCTCGTCTGTATAAATTTTTTTATTCAATTTTGAATTTTTTATGGACATTGTAATTTGTAACTACCCTCAGTTTCATCAATGCATGATTTCATGTTATTTTCTTGTATCCGGTGAATTTGGGTAATTTGGGCGATTAGATATTCTGTTCCCGAAGTTGGTGGAAGTCAGTTAATCAATTCAAAGTTGTTTAAATTTCTGATTGGATTATTTTTTATGTCTCGTGATTGTAGGACGACGATAGTGATTTAGAATGCGAGGTGGAGGCTTTCCCTAACGTTGGCCGTGAAGCTTCCACAGAGGCTACGGCATGTGTTAAAGTACGTGAATTGTGTGGATACATTTATTCTATTCTCTTTTAGTACTGAGAAATTCAAGATCTTTAAAGTTATAACAAGTAAATGTCCATATATTTCTTACGTAGCCCATTTTGTAATTGATACAAACTCCCCCTTGATTACCACTATTATGAATATGATCACTCTTCCTATATATTGCGTATTCTCCTATTATTCCATGTTGAATATACCATAGACCTAAGTCGATTCCCCATTAATTTATCTCGCCTTACACTAGACGCATCTCATAAATAATGCTTATTGATTGGTCCATCACTCCCCTTTTAATTTAATTGCATCTCAACATAATGAAGGCCACAAATGAACGTTATTCGTTGATTTATGAGAGTTTCGTAATGTATTTTTTGATGAATTCTTCCACTCATTATAATCTATGAATGCATTATAAGTATAACTAATCAGAATAATATTTGTATAAGAGTGCAGATGCATATGAAGGGACCAGTAGAATTATTTTTGCATTTATGTCGTTCCTAATAGTTTATACTTGACAAGCAAGTACTGTAAAGGAAATATCGTTTTTCAGATGGAATGCTTGTTCAACTTTATCCAATTGTAGTGTCCAATCCAAAATTTGATTGAATGTTTTTGCTCTGGAAATCGGTGACATCCATATGTTGTTTTAATGCCAGTATATGGTATACCAAAAAATATCTATATTTTAGCTACTGTTATTGCTAGCCATTTATAAGCTTTAGTACATACGACGACGTCCTTAAAACTCCATTACCTAGAGTGTCGTTTTTCCTTTCTGCTTGATTGGATCGAAAATTTCTTTTATCCATTTGTCCTACTAATGAGGGATTTATTTGTATACTGTTATTTATTTTCTATTTACAGGTTTTAATTGCTTCTGGTTATGTCTCCCGTCTACCGAGCAACTTAACAATTGAGGGGCCATTGACTATTAATATACCAAATAGTAGGGCAGTGCCTGCACCTTCAGATACCTCAGTTCTCGCCTATGCGCATGGGAAAAATATTAACATCCCTGTGACTGTACCAAAACAATCATTGCCTTCTTCAGGATGTGGTGAAAAAAGGCCTAATGATGGAGCTAATTTGCCTCCCCGAAGAAGAAAAAAGGCTTGGTCTACACAAGAGGACATGAAACTTACGGCTGCTGTGCAAAAATATGGAGAACCAAATTGGGCTAATATTGCCAAAGCGGATTTCGATAATGAAAGAACACCATCGGAGCTATCTCAGGTGCTTTATTGTTTTATGCTTCTTTACCATTTTCAGCTGACAGAGAAAACTAAATGAATAGTATTAGGGTTTAATTGCCAAAAAAGTTCATTGCTGAGTTTTAATGAATGAAATTATCATGCGCAGAGGTGGTCCACTCTCAAGAAAAAACAGGGCGGCAACTTAAAAGTCGGTACCACCAGTTCAAAACCTTCTGAAACTCAACTAGCTGCTGCTCATCGAGCCATGTCCCTAGCCCTAGATAGGCCAATGGGCGACACTTTGAAGGCACCACGGCAATTAAGTAAGAACGAATTCTGTTTATCAATTTTTATATGCACTCTAATTGACATTTTGTGTGCATAAGCAATGCTTGGAAACGATATTAATAAAGTTGCTAGCTGCTAGATGTTGATGAAAGAAAAGTGTTGGTTTTATCCTCGTATCCGCAACTAGTCAACTATTGTTTCAGTTCTGATGAATTGATGATGCCCAAGTACTGTAGCCGTTGCTTTCTTCTTCTTCAGGTTTTTTATTAAATGGCAGTTAGTTAAATTTGGATATGGTCCATTGTCTAAAAAATTCTGGTAACTGAAGAAATTTGACTTAATAGTTATTCATCTCTCTTCCCTTACATTTGAATTGCTGCCGTGTTCAAATCCCATTAGGTTTATATTGCATGTTCATTATAATTACAGAGCCCGCAAACATTTAAATGCAAATGCTGCCGCTCGTAACTAGCTGACAAGTCTTGTTTTCCTGGAATTACACAGCAACGGGAATAAAACCCCAGCAACAATCTCAAAAACCTTCGGGAACTCCGCCAGTTCAGCAGCCTGGAAGAGCGGGCCCCACTAAACCTCAGATGCCAACAAAGTGGCCTTCTACCAACCCTGCTCCCACTCCAGATTCAATGGTCAAAGCTGCTGCAGTTGCTGCTGGGGCCCGCATCGCCACCTCAGCAGATGCTTCTTCACTAATGGAGGCCGCTCGATCTCAAAAGGTGGTGCACATCAAAACTGCTAGCGGCAGCACTCCTGTGGTGAAATCTTCCACCACAAGCATTGTCAATCAGCTCCCGAGTAATGTGCATTTCATTCGGAATGGCCTGGCAAAAGCACCGATTTCTAACTATTCCGCTGCTAAACCAAACATCACGCGGGTTCCCTCTAAAAATCCTGCAGTATCTGCAGTTCGGCCTAGCCCAGCGGGGCCCACGGCATTGTCTGCAGTGGAACTTCACAGAACTGCAGGGAATGCTTCTACGTCTCGTGTTGAAACTGAAGTGCCTGTTCAAAGATATAGAGGCGCTGATCGTGTGGGACGAACACCCGAGAATCAACCAGCTGCGTTAGGCAATCAATCGGAAGGAGTTGGAAAACGTGAAACATGTGTCTCGATTTCCAATCCAGTCAGCCAAACAAAAGATGAAGGTACTGGTGATTTTTAAATGCCTTATATCAGATAACTCTCAATGATGAATATTTGGATTTGCAGGTAAAGAGAACTCTAATAAAGAATGCCCAAGCAAAGGATATTCATGAAAATTTCAAAATTCAAATGGAAGGGCTCAAGATTTTAACTAGCACAATATAGATGGAAGCGATAATTAACGAGCACTTTAGAATCGTCGACCGTCAAAAGGCCATGTCTGAAATCTTTGGTCTTCGTTATTTTCTGTTGTGTATATAATAGCCGTGTAGAGAACTTCGTTACGAAATCCTCGAGTAAAGCCTTATTAGCCTAAATTGCCATTGCTTATCTATCCTTCATTGAAATAGTATGGCAGATCCTTCATTTGCAGCTTTGGTGGAGAAGGAAAAATGGGACAAAAGATTATTTTAAAATTTTAATTAGTCCACCGTGATTTAAGTTATACTATGCTACACGCGGTGAAGTACACTAGGTAGATTTTAATCATGCACAAGCACACAAAAACACACACCCATATTGGTGTGTGTAAATCAACGGCAAAAACCCACCCGGTGTAGCATGGAAAAAACGGATGAGTATGTGATGTGGTATTGATGTTATGAATAATTATTTTTTTAGAAGCGATAAAATTTAGTAATTTGTCATATATTCCATCTTTTCCCCTCAAGAAAAAGGGAAAAAAACCCGAAGAAAACCCAACATTTGGTCAAAATGAAATGTTGACTTCTATATAAAATGTAGTGGTAAGATACAAATGTGAACATGTCATTTTAGAATTTTGTATTTCATGTCACATTCTAAAATTATGAAATATTCCTTTTTATTTTATATAATAAAAAAAATTAAAGGAACCGAAAAATAAATATTACAAAAATTGTGCGGCGATAGTCCTCTCCAATCGTAAAACAGTTCCGCCCGTGTTGGAGAAGGATGATGACGTTGAGAAGTATTAAAGGAAGGTCGACGCGAAAGACGATAAAAGATGACGTTGAGAAGAATAAGCGCAAAGTCGGCGAGGCATTGAGTGCAACTGATTCTAACGACTGTCAAACGGTAAATTTAAATTTGAATTTTGCCGTTACATAACGATTCTTGGTTCCGTTAATTATTTGTCTTTTCGTAATTTTTTTGCCCTAAACGAGGAGACATTGCTAGATTTGGGGACGATCACGCTATGACAAGTGGCTCGATCCGCTCGCTTCTTTCTAAACTAATCGAATATAACTGTTTCCACATCATCGTTTCCGACCCCGTGAAAATAATTTGGACAAAATCAACTTAGATTATATTGCATGTTATACACCCCTATTTTATTACAAACTTCAACAAAAATGTCAACTTTTTTCACTTATTGTCATGACAAAAAAACATTCAAGCCTCTCTACATTTAAAGTGTGACATATAAAAGTAATTAAGATTTTTTTGTTCCCAATTGAGAAAAACCCTTTGTTGCCTTTTGTTAGGACTGGGAAATAATTATCAAAAAAGTCGGGGTCCACTCCGAAATTTCCACACAATAAAGTGCCACGTAGGAAGATTTCAATCCACTTTAGAGAGAGAGAGAGAGAAAATATAATAATATAAAAATAAAAGAGGTTAAATGCAGCTAAAAATAAGACGTAAGTAAATTAATAACATGACAAAAGCAACCGATTAAAAAATCCACGTGTCAGACGGCTTCCGTCACTCTCCCACCTTCCGTTTACTTCGCCGTCTCATCTTCCGTTAACTCCACCCTTCGTCTCTGCATTTTCTTATCTGCATATAACTTACAGAAGTAACAATGGAAGCTGATCGTTAAATTTATACCTCACCAATTCCCACTAAATTTTGCCAGGTTTTCCTCAATTTCAACTGCATTTGTCTTCTCTCTCCATTGCCCATACTCTCTAATCTCTAATCCACCCCCCCCACCCCACCCCACCCCCAGTTTCTTCCCTATAAATAGGAGCTTCTTCTTCAGCAATGAAGCACACCAAGAAATAAATTAAAGAATTCGAGTGATCAATAATAATATAAGAGAGAAGAGGAGAGTGTATATAGTGCTACTGTAAACTGTTTGATTTCCATCATGTCTCAGGCGGCGGCGGCGGCGGGTTGTGGTGGCGGGATGAGGAGCTCAGGCGGTGAAAACCCTGAGGAGGATAAGAATTGGAAGGGAGTTATTTCAAACAATATTCCCGATTCTCCGGTGATGAGTAGCGACGAAGAGAGCGACGACGAACAATCACCGGCGAAAAAAGTTGGCGGCGGCGGCGTAAAATCCAGTACCCTTGATTGCATGGCTGCGCTGGAAGCATCTCTGCCAATGAAGTGAGTACTATAATTTAATCATTTTTTTTTATTATGTGTATTATTTAATTAATTTGGTGATTAATTAGGGTTAATATGAATGCATGCAGGAGGGGGATTTCGAGAAATTACAGCGGGAAGTCGAAATCGTACGTGAACCTGAGCGCGGTGGCCGGAGTGATGGAGGACGCGAGAGATTTGGGGAAGAAGGAGCACGCCGTCAACAAGCGGCGACGGCTCATCATCGCCCATGAATACCCTGACAGAGTGACGGCCGGAGGAGCCGATTCCGCCGCCGTGACTCAGGCATCTTCCTCGCCGGCCTTTCTCCCACTCCGTCAGCATGAAGAGGAAGAGGACGGCGAATGTGGCGGCGGTGATTCTCAGAAGAAATAGGAGATGACCGGAGTTAAATCCGGTCCTTTTCTATCCTGAGACCTTCCAACAATCCCGTTCCCCCTCTCCCTTTCTGTCTCTGATCTCTCTCCTTTTTTTAGAGAGAGAATCATTTGATTGATGTTGATGAGAGAGAAAGTAGAATTCTTTTATTATTTTGTATAAAAATACGATTTAATTCATTATGTATGTATATTCGAGAGAATATAGGTATATCAAAGGATTCTTGATTAAAGCAATTTTTTTTAATCTTTTTTTATTTAATATCTTTTACTACTATATATGATTACCATGGCATGAATGTTCATCTCAACTTGTTTGGTGTTTGGTAAAATTAGCAAACTCAAGACAATTTGTTTAACAAGTTCAAATGGTGTTTTAATTCAATGATTTGTATTTTGATTAGAGAATCTCATGAAAACGAGCGATTTGTTGTGAATATATAAGAACAGTCGCGTAAACTCAAATTAAACTAATCGCACGCAAGAGATCACACTTAGAATTACGTGGTTTAGATCGAGATACAACTCTATTAACACGGAGACAACAAACTGGATTTGTATTGATAACTCAAAGATCAATATACAAGCTCGCAAACTCATTGTAACAAAGCTAGCTCACAGAAAAAGCTTCTAAACCCTAACAACGAGAGTCAAAGATTTTTTCTATCTCGCTTTCTCTTTCCGTTTTCATTAATGTTGGGTATCTCTCTCATCTCTCTTTGCGCACACGAGATGCTTTATATACCCTTCAAATTTAGCCAACTTGTATGTGAGAGAAGATTGCATGATTAACTGCTCACCTAAAGTTAGTTAAAGCTCATAACAACTTTTGTCAACTGCAAATTTTTCTTGATTCATCTCCAACCAAGAACTAGTCGTTGGATCAATTGCTCCAACACGTTTTAAATGGTTTCTACATAAAAATCAAATCCACCACAATTATTCGAAAATGATTTCAAATAAAAATTTAGAGTGTTTATTATAGAATAAAGTTTATTATATTCATCAAATTACCAATCTTACAATTTTATCATCATGAATTTAAAATTATTTTTATTATCACTTTGCCAACTAAACCATCCTTGACCACACTAATATTTATATAGGAAAAAAAGAGCTAGTGCATTTTAATAAATCAGATGTAGATTATAGATATTTTTTTTTCCTAATAATATTATGAATAAAATGATTTCATAAAAATAAAATAATGAAAAGGGCCAATATTATATAAATAAAATAAGATGGGCTGCTCATACTATATCCAATAGGATTAAATGGGCCCGTTACACACTAAATATTGCAGGCCGGGCCCCTACACAATTAGGCGGCGGTTATCACCCGCTATCTCGGCCGTAGGGACGGTGGTGCTGCACCGGAATGTGTAGGCGGAGAGCGCGGTGGCTCTGAGTTGCGGTAATAATATCATTTTCGTTTTGGTTTACGCATTTATCGTTCATTTATTCTGTTTGGTGCACAGTTCGTTTGTAATTGATTTAATTTTTATTTTTTATTTTTGGAAATTGAAATCGCACGGATTGTTTCAGAAATGTTGTAATTAAGAGCTAATTAAGCAATGAATTAACTGTTAATTCGACTGTTTAAGCTCAGAAATCAATCAAGAGTCTCAGATTTGGGAGTTGGGAGATTAGGGGAAAAAGTGATTTATTAATTATGTTTAAATTAATAAATCGTAAATGCCGATTGTGTATCATGTAATGGAGTGTAGCATGTAATTTCTTATATGATTAAAGAGTAAAAAGATGTCGATTTCTACTTACCTAAAATATATAATCTAAACGGAATGCACGATGTAAATTTTTCGATATTTCAAGAGCTTTATTTCAGTGCATATTTTTTGGTTTCGGTTTTGGTTTTGCATTTTAGTGTTTTTGGAGAATCGGTGATTTTGTTGCTAAGTATGGTTATTTTTTTGTTATCCGTTCATTTGCCTATAATACAATGATTTAATACAAATCTTATTTATCGCCTGAATTACCAAAAAACCGTGCTTTAATAGACATCTGTGCTGTACAGCTCAGAAGTGCGTTAACCAGTTGTCCTAAAAAAATTCACCATGCACTGTCTATACTTGACACGCCGACGGTGTACGCGTCGTTCATTGTGTGTAATGCATGTGTGATATTTGCCATCTGTCATGTATCTCGTGCAAATAAATACCGGCCTCGCTTTGAGTCATTTGTGCTCTGTACCAAGGGAGTCGTATATCCCCATGAAGCGAGATCTTACTTTTCCGTTCAGTAGTTTATTATGAGGTGCTTATACTTTATTTTGAATGTATTTTTTGATTTAATAACCGTTTCTTTTGTTGCTGATGATTATTTTTTTTGTAGTGTGGGTTTTTATGGTTGGAATCGAATCGAATTAATTTTATTTTTTTGTGACAATTTTTTTTTTCGTTTAGCAACTAAATATATCTTTCTGATGGATTGCAAATTTCATGATTGCTTATTCAGTTTGACCAGGGCTTTTCGAGATACTGCAATTGGAGGATGCAAAAGATTTGGGGATGAAAAGGGGCAGAATGGTAATTGTTCAACTGCGCATAAGCAATACGTCACTGGATGTGTCTGCTTCTCATTGTAAGGACAAAGAGAACAGCAGAGATGACCGGATTACTAAATATGGTGATTTTTTACACACTGCAAATTAATGAATTATAATATGTTGATTTTCATCTCGATTTTTTGGCACTTTTTTTTTGCCTTTGCGTATTAGCTATATATCTTTCTGATGGATTATTGCAAATTTCTTGTTTTTCCAGGAATGTATTGAATCTCTATGATGGAACCGAGAATCGTTCGTAAAATTTGTCTCAACAAGGACTTCGGGATTGAACGGACTCGAGATAATACCGAGTCGTTGAGCGAGAATGGTAGTGAAACCGGTCTGGATGAAGTGAGTACTATAATATAAATCATAATCGTAACTCTGTTCTTGATTTAACTTTGTTGATTAAAATTCACATAATTTTGTCAAAAATCTTGAATTACAATCAAATGCGTGTGAATGTGGTGAGTTGATCGAGATATTTCTTCACGACTTGTGCAGACACTACTACAGTGGGAAATTTCGAAATCATTTTGGAAGTGTGAATAAAAGGACAGCTTCGAACGAGGAAGGGGCGTAATGGTAATTGCGCAATGAGTTCTTGTGAAGAAGAAGAAGTGAAGTGGAATCCATCCAGACTTGATCTGGTTCATTTCTTGATTGCTTTGAGTTATGAGAAATGGCAATTTGTGTCTATTCTGTATATATATTGTATCTATCTTTTTGGTGATTTTTTTACCACTTTATATGTGGACAAATAACATTTGGACTGTGTTAGTAAATTATGTTCCTGCAAACATATTTAATATATCATATGGAAATAAAATATGTTTTATGTAATATGGAGATTTTATGTGAACACTATAGTAGTTAAACTCGCGAGATACCGCGATATATATCGCGAGACGGTACGGTCCAGTCAAAATGATGCAACTCATAATATGTACCGGCTATGCACAAATACTGTTAAATATCGCGAGATAACGTATCGTATCGCCATATCACGATACGATACGATATTTACGATATTAGTCAAAATATTTAAAAAAAATTAAAAAAATTAGAAAAAAAAATAATAATAAAAGAAAAAAGAAGGAAGAAATAGTCACATTATTAGGAAAATAAATAAAATAATAAAAGAAAAAAGAAGGAAGAAATATTCACATTATTAGGGCCTGAAAACGAATTTCAATTTTATTTAATGTTTTTCTTATATATATTAGATCCAAGAAATTTACTAGCCAAGTTTGATATTAATAAGATGAAATAGGAAAAATGCCAAAGTTGGAGTTGATGAAGTTGAAGAGATTGATGAACATGAGAATGAAGACACTCGTTTGAAATTGGTGGATGAATTTTTTTTTAAGTGACATTGATCTTGAAGATTATGAGTGATGGATTACTTTCTTACAAATTAGGGATCAAAATTTGAACTTTGTTGATGTTATTTTTATGAGCAGTTATGACTTTTGTTCTATTTTACGATCCATTTTATGATAGATTAGTTTTTTTTTTTTAATAAATTAGGAATGAGTAGTTTGACTTTAAAATATCAAATTTACATTTTTATACTATTTTTATTATGTAGATATATATTTTTTTGTTATTTTTAATAGTTGGCTAAATATCTTACGATACGATACAATAACGATACGATACGATACACGAAGGAAAACGATGCGCCGATATTTTCATATTCGATAACCACAGTGACCACTTTGAAAACATTTCCAAAAATCAATAAATTTCAATTAACTAATTATTCTCTCATTTCTACATAATTAATTTCATAAAATGTCTATGCAATATATTAATAATAAATCACCACAAGAAAATCTTATTTCGTTCATTAATTTTTTTTTAAATATTTAATCATTCATAAATCATAATTATACAATATATATTATTTTTAATTTTTTTTTCAAATAATTTAATTTTATACTAATTAAAATTTTATTTGTATTTATTATAGCAAAGAAATGGATTTTTTTTTCTAAATTTAATTATTGCATTGAATTTTCAATTGATTTTTTTTTCGATAAATTATTTGTATTAATTTTCAATTATTCCATAAAAAAAAAGGGATAAAATAGCCCATGGCCTTTATTGTAGCAGCCCAGCTCTACACAATCAGGCGGCATTTGTCATTCCGGCCGCAGCGACGGCGGTGCTATGGGTTGCGCCGCCGCCATCTTCATCCAGTGTTGGTTTCTCGAGCGGCACCAGTAATTTTAAATGTAATTGTTTCTCCCCTGTTCATTTTTCACTTTCATTTTCATTTAATCCCTTGTTCTTCTTTTAATATAATAATCATGTTCGTTTTGGTTTACGCATTTTACTGTTCAAAATTACTTGGTTTAGCTTTTTGGTAATTTATTTAATATTTTTTAATTACAGCTTTCAGAAGTGGGCAATAGAGCAAAATTGTTGATGTAATGTAATTACTGTGTAGTTCAAATGCATATATTTTGGTCTAAATTTGTAAATGATGGTGATGATGATGAATATGCGCCAAAAAACATAGTAAAATGTGATTACTGATGAGTTTTGTGTTTCGGTTTTGGTTTTTGGTTTTGATTTTTGGTTTCGATTTCGGATCCGTGTATGCTGTTGTAAGTCTTGTTTGAATACGTAATTAAATTATATTCATGTACCTTCTATGGAAATAACCGGTTAATCGACTGATTGTGGTTGAGTCATTTGTTGACGGTGAAAGTCGATTAATACCTAATTCAAAACTGCAAATTTAGGGAAATCGAATTCGTTGGTAACTAATTAGTTTTCGTTGAATTTATTCGAACCGGATTAATTACTATTAGCCGTGGAAGTGTATTTTGTGCTTTGTACCACTCACGATCTTTCGTTTTTTGCATATCGTAGAATGCATTTTAATTAGAAAATAAATACGTCTTAGGTTTTCGTGAAACGTTCGTCGATAAATAAATCTTTTAGGTATATCTGACTGCTGCATCTACGATCTCTATGATGTTGATTTTGCAGTATATGAATATCGTTAAGTATCGTTAAATATATATATATATATATATATATATATATATATATATATATATATATTACTCAAATGAATAGTAATCTCGTAAATTAAACTTTAACAAAACAAATCGAAAGTTGACTATTTGGATAGTTTAATCTGGACGTTTTGATTCTAGAACTTTCCGGTTAATATAATTTCGGGTTTTTCGGATCCAAATTTTCCCAAGTAGGACGTTTTGGTATTTTCCCCTAAATTGGATATTGACAATTGTAGCTAGCCACAGTCGATACCGTCGAGGTTGGCTAGGACAAATGTCGTAGTTTTTCGAAATACGTGTCCGTATTTGTGAGGTGCATGCGTTGGATTTGCCAGGTGTCCTTGTATAAACCCCCTATAAAAACCGGCCGATGCTGCCTTCATTTTCCGCACACAAGAATTCTTCTTATCATAGAGCAATAGAGGGATCTGGTTCTGTTTTCTCCTTGTAAATTTCTCTTGTGGGAAAGTTTTATTTCGATTCACCGGCAATTTTCTCGGTTACCGATGATTGTTTTTAGGTAACCAAGCTCATCGGTTATTTTCTTAATTGTTTTTTGTTCGTCTTTCTTTCTGATGGATTGCAGTTTTCTTCTTTTCTTGTATCTGTTTTTGGCTTCTTTCGTTGAAGGTTTTAGTAATTTGTAGACCTAAGGGTTCAAACAGGGACGGAAATTGAAACGGAATTCCGTCGATTTCGAATCCGAAGTTTCTGATTTTGTAAAGATTTTTTTTCATTTGATTTACAAAATTCTGATTTCCGATCTGATTTAAATTTCCAAAAAAATTGTTTTTTGTTTCTTAAAAATTGTATCTGTAATATCAATATTAGTATATATTTACATGATATATCTTAAATATAATGAATACAACAGTCACGTGTGTGCATACACGATTATGGTGCAAAATGCCGTGGAACGTGGGATTAAGCCTTACAATAGTCATTCGATTTAGCTTTTTTTATTCGATTTGCAAACATCGTTTTCTCGTATCATTTTATCCTTGTTTGTATATATTCTTGTTTTATTTAATAGATTATAGTCAACACGAGCATAAAACGACTTCTAAAATGCTTTTGTTTCAGTTTCTTCTGGCAGGGAGAATACGAGTGAGATCCTCAATTGTTTTCGTCGGAGTACGGCAACGATGACATCAGCATGATGATGTGGACGAAAACTCGATACCCTGCAATTAACTCGCCGTTTCTGTATTGTTTCATCCGCAAAAAAGTAGAAATAACAACGGTAGATAGGATTTGGCCGTAGATCGCTACCTCACAGAATATTCCTTGTCGATTTGCCACTCAAAACTTCCAGAATCTCTGGACTACATTTGGCTTTTCTCGCCATTGTTTTCATGCCTATAAATAGGAGTCGTGTTCACTATTATTAAACGAAGAAATCAAGAACAAATCGAGTACCTGATCTTCGCTCCGCGAAGTGAGTGCATTATGAATTATTCAACTTCCGTCTCTCTTGATTGTGTTTTAACTTTGTTTATTTAATATTTAAATTAAAATATCACTGATGCATGTGAATTTTGACGATCGTGAAAATTTGTGCAGTCTGGGATTTCGAGCAATAACTGCAGGAAATTCGAAATCGTACGTCGATTTGAACGAGAGATTGGAATTGGAGGATGCTAAAGAGTTGGGGAAAGATCTGCAGATTGATCTGCGTGAAGATGAAGAAGGATTCGGAGGCTTTCAAGATTTTAGGGAGTCATATTATCTAAAAATATAAATACTAGTTTGGTAGAAATCTTTTGTTGTAAAGAAAACATAGATTTTTTTTGTAATTTTTTAATTTTGTTGTGGGTACAAATGTTTAATAAATAATTTATGGGTAAATTACAGCCACCCACTGTGATAATGTCAAAATACGAAAAAATTCCTTATGTTTGGGTAATTACAACCACACTTCAATTTATTTATACGTTCACTCTTATGGAGTAAAATTCAACAAAATCTTCTAGATTTCGTTGAATGTTGTCTAACTTTTGTAATTGTTTAGTGCAAAAATGCAGTTTTTGATGAACCACAATCTGATATTTACAAATCATGAGACACATCTTATGATTGGCTTGTTTCAAAATGTGGAGCTCGAAGAGGGTATAACGGGTACAAACTTTAGAATATTACACATAATTTAAAAAAATCAGTAAATTTGATTAGAATATTCAACATAATTTAAAAAAAAATCAGTAAATTTGACACACATGGATGAATGTGTAAAAAGATTCATAGTTGATGGATGATCGTAATTACTAAAACATAAGGGTTTTATTTTTTTTTCATAATTTGACTTCACCTAAGATGAGTGGCCGTAATTTACTCATAATTTATTTTGTATATTAACTTTTATTCAAAAAGAACTTAATAGTCCTTTATAAAATTGTTTGCAATATTTCAATTAAGTTGCTTGAGACTTCATTCTACTAACGTCGAGGGCCACACTAAGACAATTTTTCGGGAAGTAAAAGGGGGAAGGTGGAATTTTCCACTAATCAATGCACGATACATAGGTAAGGTACGCGTCGAGCGGTTTGTGTGTATGTGCATTGGTTAAGATAACTGTCCTAATTTTCCACCAATGAATGCACGACACATAGGCGTGGCACGTGTTGAGCGGTTTTTTTGTTGGCTAAACACCTTTATTATTTATTGTGAAATCAGTGTCTAAGCATGTGTTGATGCGTTAAAATAATCATATTAATTATGCTCTGGCTATAATTTATGAAAGCAAAAAAGATAGTTCATAAGGTATTATGCTTTAGTTTATAAGCATTTATAATTAAACGGCTCGTTGTTTTTTCACAATCAATAATGAGGTATTCGTATTATCTTGACAATCAATTTTGAGACCATTTTCCACAATTTTGAGGCTATTTTAGAGCTGTTAGTTACTGGGATGCTCGTGCCATGATGCACCATGAATCATGGGAATACCGTGGACTTTTCGTGCGTATTTATTCTTTTGTTAGACTTAATTTCATAGTTATCGATGCTCGAAACTGTCGAGGCTAGCTACGACAACTTTCCTAATTTTACTAATTTGTACCAATTAATACACGACAGATAGTTGACGCATAAATCAATGCACGAGCAGTTTGTGTCAGCTGTCCTAATTTTGCACCAATTTTGCACTATCTTTTTTTCATCGGAATTAATTTTATAGCTATCCATAGTCGATACCATTGAGGCTGACAATGACAAATGGCGTCATTTTTGCACCCCGCGCATGCGATGCGTGACGCGTAGGTGAAATACGTGTCCGTCTTTGTGTGGTGCATTAGCTGTATTCGCCAGCTGTCCTGTATGAAACCCCTATAAATACCGGCCTTTGTTGCCTTCATTCTCCACACACAATACAAGAGTTCTTATAATAGAGCCATAGAGAGATCTGCTCATGTTTTCTGCTTGTAAATTTCTCTTGTGGGAAGTTTTATTTTGATTCATGAGCAGTTTTCTCGGTTACCGATAATTGCTTATAGGTAACCAAACTCATCAATGCACGATATATAGGTAAGGTACGCGTCGAGCGGTTTGTGTGTACGTGCGTTGGCTAAGACAACTTTCCTAATTTTTCACTAATCAATGCACAACACATAGACGAGGTACGTATTGAGCAGTTTTTTTATTTTTTTGTTGGCTAAACATCTTTATTATGTATTATTTATTGTGAAATGAATGTCTAGCATGTGTCGATGCATTAAAAAAATCATATTAATTATGCTCTCGCTATAATTTAAGAAAGCAAAAAAAATAGTTTATGAAGTATTATGCTTTAGTTTATAAGCATTTATAATTAAACGGCTTTTTAGTCTTTTACAATCAATAATGAGGTATTCATATTATCTTGACAATCAATTTGGAGATTATTTTCCACAATCAATTTTGAGACTATTTTAGAGTTGTTAGTTAGTACAGTGTACGTGCCATGTACTATGAATTATGGGAATACTGTGGGCTTTTTGTGCGTATTTGTTCTTTTGTTAGACTTAATTTCATAGTTATTGATGCTCGATATTGTCGAGGCTAGCTAGGACAACTTTTCTAATTTTACAAATTTGCACCAATCAATACACGACACATAGTTGATGCACAAATTAATGCACGAGCGGTTTGTGCCAGCTGTCCTAATTTTGCACTATCATTTTTTTCATCGGAATTAATTTCATAGCTATCCATAGTCGATACCATCGAGGCTAACGATGACAAATGGCGTCATTTTTGCACCACGCGCAACCGTTGCCTAACGCGTAGATGAAATACGTGTCCGCCTTTGATTGGCGCATGTGCTGTATTCGCCAGCTGTCCTCGCCAGCTGTCCTGTATGAAACCCCTATAAATACCGGCCTATGTTGCCTTCATTCTCCACACACAACACAAGAGTTCTTATAATAGAGCCATAGAGAAAGATTTGCTCATGTTTTCTGCTTGTAAATTTCTTTTGTGGGAAGTTTTATTTTGATTCATGAGCAGTTTTCTCGGTTACCGATGATTGTTTATAGGTAACCAAACTCGTAAGTGATTTTCTTTCATTGTTTTATGCAAGGTTTTACCTTGAAAATTCATTAATTTATAGATCTTACAAGGGGACAACCATGGATGGAAATCGGAACGGAATCCCCTAATTCCGCACGATTTCGATCCAGAAATTTCATTTTTTGAAAAGATTTTTTCGTTTGATTTCCGAAATTCCGATCTCGGATCTCGTTTAATTTTCGAAAAAAATCTACAAAATATTTTTTTTTGTTGCTTCCAAAAAATATATTTGTAATATGAGTATTATTACATATTTATATGATATATTTTAAATATAACGTATGCTATAAAATAATTATATTGACTTTAGAAAAAATCGTTCATCCGTCGAAATGCTTCGTTTTTGTAGATGTACACGATTTTAGCCAAGTTTTATCCTTTTTTTTTTTGTTTATTATTGTCATTTATAATTGAATATAGTGGTCATTAAAATAAATATTAGTGCATCTAAAATGCTTTTATTTCAGTTTTTTCTGGTAGGAAAAAAGAGGAACGAAATTCTCCAAATGTCGACCGAGAATTCCGATTCTCATGAGTTCACAAATCGGACTGCCCGTTTACGGAGACATTTGACCAAGTCAACGACGAAGGCTACAATCTCTAGCCACTCTAAGGAAAAAGAGAAAAAACCCGAATATTCGATCTTTGCACCACCACCGGAGTATCTCGGATACATCCGGTGGGAGTACGGCAACGATGACATCAGGATGATGACGTGGAGGGGGATCGCATGGAATCTAGATACTCGTCCATCGAGCGATGGAGAGAGCTATCTAGATGACGTGGCGGGGGTGCTCCTTGAATACTCTCGAATCAATGGCTTTACACGGAGCATTTCTACCATGGAAATGCTTCGGTCGATAACAGTTAATGGAGGGCTTAATCCTCCGTTAATCATCGAAAATGGAATTGACGAAAATGCCCCTGGCCTCTTGGTTTGGAGATGGAAGAATACAATAGCAGCACCATCCAGACAAGATTGGGCAGAAGGAGAAAACGTATTACGTACGGCTTCCCTAGAATGCCGTTAATCGTTTTGCTCGATTTTTTTTTTTTTTTTTTTAATTTTCGATGTTGAATAGAAGAGAAGATAAAATTGGTAATTTTTGCAGGAGAAGTAGTGCTCGAGTTTATTTGGAAATTAGTTGTACGAGTATTTCGATTTTGTAGATGCTATATTCGGTGATGTATTATCGTGGATTTATTCGTGTAAAATTCATTTTCGATACGTATAAGTTTACATGATTTTTTTTTATTGGAGTTGGTACTTGAAAATATTATATGTTTATCTAAGATTAATGAATTGGAAGAGTTGTATTTGTATATATATAATATATACTTTTTATTGAAGAATATAAATTATTAAATTGGGGAAGTTAAATATATTTCTAGATTCATGGTACCAAAATACAAATATCATGTGTTTGAATTTTGATGATTAATATTGGATTTTTTAATTAATTTTAAAAAATATATAAACACTGAAAATTAAAATTAAGAAAAAAAGAAAAAGTGAAAAGACCAAAATGCCCACAGAATGCAGAAGTACTCAGTCACAATATTCCCTATGATCGCTCGAGTGACCACCTATGGAGCGCAACCCGAGTAGAAATCCTCGTCATCCAGTGGCGCCACCGTATTCGGAGAGCTTGCCGGCTGAAGCGGCGGTGCAGTGGGCGGAGCTGCGGCGAGATTTTGAATCTACTTCATGAATGCTGCGGAATGCGGAGCGTGGTAAAACAAAGATTCCGCCCCTCTTATTCAACTTCATACCCTAGGTTGTAATTTCTGTTCTTATTTTTATTGCTAATTTTGGATTTTTAGCTACTTCAATTTGTACTATGTACTGGTTTTCAATTGGATTATTGGGGCTTAATTTTAGTGTACATAAATCTATTTATTTTTATTTTTGTTCCAGGAAAATAAACATTGTTTCAAGTGAGCAAATTTAATAAATATAATAAATTTGACGAAATTAACTTAATCGACAATTCACTGGTTAGAAAGCTTTAATTTGAAAAACTTGTTCGAATATATTATTTCAGTGATATTGGCATATCTTCGATGAAATTAACTGACTATTGATTGATTAGTTGCTAGTGAAAGTTGATTAATACCAAATGTAATACTCCGTGCAATGAATTCGGCTGAAAATCATCGTTCGTCGTAGATTATTAATATCCATCGAGTAGAATGAAATGACTTCATAACTATTGATTAATGTGGTCAGAAATGCAAACGTCTATTATACTAAGATGGAGACTTATCGGAGTTATTTTCATATATGTTAGTAAATTATATATCGTCGTTTTTAGAATTTAGAAATTATTTTTTTTGTTAGCATGTAGGCTAATTGCATTGCCTCTCTTTCTATAATTTTATTTGAAGACTTAATGATATAAATGCCTAATATGTGCCGATGCATTAAAAGTTCGTAACCGTATCCATTGGCTATAATTTATGAAAACAACAAAAACGATAGTCCATGCCCTCGTAATGTTTTACTTTATAAACATTTAGAATTAATTGGCTTAATTTTTCTTGAAAGTCAATGTTAAGATATTCGTATCGGAGTGTCGATAACCTAGAATTTCTAATTTATGTGTGCCGAGGGTGATTTCGGGACACCGAAGAGTGGAAAGGTATAATGTTAGGTGTGGAAAGGTAGCCAAGGAGCGTAAAAGTAGTTGTTAGACTGTGCAATAAACGTGCCTTGCGTAATAAATTCAAGCATATCCGTTACCTTTTGTTGGATTTAAATTTTCGATACTGTCGAGGCCTGGCAAGGACAGCTGTCCCATTTTTGCGCCAATAGACGCACGACACGTAGGCGAGCTACGCGTCGGGCAGTTTGTGGAGCGCATGCGCTGGCCGATACAGCTGTCCCATTTTTGCGCCAATAGACGCACGACACGTGGGTGAGCTACGTGTCGGGCAGTTTGTGGAGCACATGCGCTGGCCGATCCAACTGTCTCATTTTTGCGCCAATAGAGGCACGACACATAGGTGAGCTACGTGTCGGGCAGTTTGTGGAGCGCGTGCGTTGGCTGAGCCAGCTGTCCCAATCAATGCGTGACACGTAGGCACCCATACGTGTCGGGTGGTTGGTGGACTGCATGCGCTCGATTTGACAGCTGACCCAATCAACGCATGACACGCAGCCATCCCTACGCGTCGGGCAGTCGGTGGACTGCATGCGCTGGATTTGACAGCTGTCCTGTATCAAACGCCTATAAAACCCAGTCTAGAACAGCCTTCATTCTCCACACACACAAGAGTTCTTCTAATAGAAGGATCTGCTTCTCTTTTCTCTGCTAGTAATTTTCTTTCGTTGGAAGTTTTATTTTGATTCGTGGGCATTTTTCTTGGTTGCCGATGATTGTTTAAAGGTCTGGAACCAAACTCATCAGTGATTTTCTTAGTAATTTTTTTTTTTTTTGGTATAAAATTTAAGGAATTTTACAATTGATCTTCTCCAATTCTGATTGGATTTTCTTGAAATTTCCTTGTTTTGCAGGGGTAAAGATGGAAAGTTGATTTCGTCACACAAATGGAAAACGAGCAAGAAATCACCGTCAGGTGCACAGATCCTAGATCTGTTCCATGCACCCGATCCATTTTGCCTTTGGCAAGCTATACTAACAGGAATCACCACCTTCAGTTCAATCCTGTAAATCTCGTTACCAAAAAAAAAGAAAAAAAATTAAACTTTTAATCAATGTTACATGTTTCCGATTACTGATTCGAATTTTCTTGTTTTTTTTTTTTTTGTTGTAGGAGGGTTCTATGGATCCATTACGATTAGGATATACCGTTTGGTAACTTATCTGCATGCGGGCTGCAGGACGCGAAAGATTTGGGGATGTAGCTGGATCTCGGGTCTTACGAGGTGCCAGCTGTACTCCATTACTCGTGCTCCTTCCACCCCTACCTTCGCCCTTTTATATATCGGGGCGAATAATAACGACAACGGCGTTGAGTAGAGAGGAGATTTCGTGAGTTGTCGAATAGAAGAGAAGATAAAATATATAGGGGAGGGGAATTTAGTGATACCCCTTTTAGTTTCTCCGGCCGCCCAGACTTTGTAGAGAGAAAATAATTATGTCTGCGAGCGCCAGGATCGGAGTTAATGTTTGTTTATATTTTGAGAATTTTTTTTTTATCTTTTTGCTTACAACTTCATCAGTAAAATCATGCCGCTCAAGTATAGTGAGAGGTGTAGTTGTTGGAGAGAAGAATTTGGAACAAAGTACGAGACATTGTTTTTGTGTAGCAGTCGAATCATAGAGAAATGTATCTTGAGAGAAGAATTTGGAACGAAGTATGAGACATTGTTTTCGTGTAGCAGTCAAATCATGTTTGAAAGTAATCGAAAGAGTTAAATCCACATGAGTTTGTTGTGTTTATAAATAAATATTTTGTTTTTACTTTTCTTAAATAAGTTGTTATATATATATATATATATATATATATATATATATATATATATATATATATATATATATATATATATATATATATATATATATATATATATATATATATATATATATATATATATATATATATATATATATATATATATATATATATATATATCTCAACTATGATTTTTTCTTACACTTCCACCCTTATGGTGCCAAATTCAACATAATCATCTAGATTCCGTGAAATTTGCTCTAGTTTGTACTCGTTTTGTGTAAAAATACAGTTTCCGATGCACCAAAAACTGATATATACAAGCTAAAAATCACATATTATGATCTTCTTGCTTCATAATGTAGAGTTTGAATGAGATAAAACGGGTACAAAAGTGATAATATTCCATATAATCTAGAAGATTTCACTAAATTTGAGGAGTTGAGGGGGTGGTTGTAATTATCCAAACAAGAGGGGTGTTTTTGTAATTTGACAATACCTCAGGGGGGTGTTTGTAATTTACCCTATATATATATATATATATATATATAAAAGAAAATAGAATTGAAAGTATTCTACATTAATGAAATTATGAATGGGCAAGAAATAGAATCAACACATCCCAAATTTAAAATCACATTTCAAATGTTTTTTACCAAATTAATGTAGCATAATGATTTTTTTAATATGACGTCATATTAAAAGAAATCGAAAAAAATCGAAATTCAAAATTTCCAATTTGGGAATTAAATAATTTATTGTAAAATCCGTAAATATAACGGGTTGCAAAATCCACCGGACTTTATAAAATGGCCTCCATTTTCATGCCCAGTTATCCCCTAACAAAAAACCTGCATTTACTGACCCGGCCCACTAGAATCACGCGAGGCAGCACCACCGTCTTCCCCCGAACCGCCGCCCGAATGGAATCGTCAGCCGCCGCCAACGCAACCGTGGACTCAGCCAGCACCGGCGAAGGGACGGAGATCTCGACGGCGGACACCGTCGTGCAGTACGTTGTGCTCCGGAGGGACTTAATCGACACGTGGCCGCTGGGTAGCGTAGTAACGCAGGGCTGCCACGCCTCCGTCGCCGCCGTCTGGCTCCACAAGGACGACGCCGACACTCTCCTCTACTGTTCGCCTTCCAATCTCGATTCGATGCACAAGGCTAGTAATTTCTAATCCATAACTGTTATTCACATTTCTGAATTTTTTCCTTTTTTTTTTTTTGTCCATTTCGAGTTTTAGAAATTGGATTGGAATGCAATTCAAGCTGGAGGAATTGAGATTTAGCATAAATTTCTGAAATTAGATTAGATAATTTTAGAAATTGGATTAGATAATTTTCTGAATTTATCTAGCCTTGAGGAATTGGGATTTAGCATAATCCAGACAAGCATTTCAGATTTGTAAATCATGGATTACAAAATTTGAATTTCATAGTTCCAAATCCTTCAATCCAAACGCAACCTTAACGACTTTTCTGCAGAAGTGCTAAATAAATCTCGACATTCCATATGCAGTAAAGCTCGGTAAATAATCATCATTTATTTGATCGCATTTCAAGTCATGTTATCTCAAGTACCTAAGTTTACGAAATAGTTTCTGTAAATGCAGGTTACGCTTGAAGTGAAAGGCGAAGCTCAGATACTAAACTTGTCGGAAAAGCTAAAAGCAGGCGGCATTGCTCATAAGCTGTGGATAGAACAGCCTGAGAACATCCCCACATGCCTCGCCACAAAACCCTACCCGAAATCCTCCATTTCGACATTTTTCAGAAAGCTCAAGCTCTGTAAGTAATCAAATTCGACATTGCAGTATTTAAATACCAATGATTTTGATGCGGATTTTTCACTCTTTTTAGTTCTTGTTAACAGTTGGTCTAAGAATATGATTCGTTATGATTAAGATAAATTACGATGCGAACTCCTGAGTACATGGGGAAATATACTGGGTAGATTTTCATGTTTAGATTCATATACATGTAGATGCATATATGGATATATACATAATATAATTCGATGATATTAACTGAGTGTAGCATAAAACAAACCGTAAATCACGAGACAAATTGTAGTAAGCCAAGAATAGGGGCGCGGAAATTGAAACGAAATTTCCAAATTCTGCCGATTCCTATCCCAAAATTTCTTATTTTGGAACAATAGTTAATATTCCGTATACCGAAAGTTCTGATTTATGATTTTTTTCTGAATGCAATTGGAATACATATCGGATTACGATTTCCAATCCGATTTTATTCCTGAAAATATTTTTTGAAAATTTTCGTTTATTTTCTGAAAATCACACTTATAGAATCAATATTGTAATATATTTTCTGTTATAGGTGATTAAAATTTTAGAACTTTTGAATTCCGTCTATTTCGATCCTAAATTCTTCCGATTTGGAACAAGTTCATCATTCCACTTTCCGATATTTTTTTTAAGACGGAATTAGAATTAGGTTTCCAATTCGAAATGAAATTAGTTTTTTTTTTCTTTCGGAAAATGTCGATTCCGTCCGATTTCCACACTAGCCAAGAACAAGGAAATAGAAGCCAATCTTCTCAGTATTATAATCACCAAATTCAATCAAAAATTATTAATTATGTTATTAAATATATGACATCTGTAACATAAAAAAAAAATTACATCATCCATAAAACATATACACGAACACTACATCCTAAATTCTAGATATTACAGTATAATTAAACAAAAATTCTAAAAAAATATATATATAAAAATATAAAAATGAAATAGTAATGAGCAAAATAAAAAGGCCAGGTGGATATTTGTTATTGGACGACCAAACGGCGGGAGCAGATGGAGCAGTACAACCTGCGCTTGGTCTTATAATAGAGCGGCACGAAGCAGAGGCGCCACTGACTCTGTACGTCCATGGCCTGCACCATTCCGCCGCAGTACGGGCACGCCCCCGGCGCCGCCTGCCTTCCGATCACCCTCTCGTCTTCGTCGCACACGAATACCAGACACATCCTTTCTCTTCCCTCCCCTTTCAACAAATTCCGATTTTCTCTCTCTAAAATTGATTCTTCCGCTTTCTATCAATTGGATTCGCTTTGATCCGTTAATTTGAGCTCTGTGATTAGCTGATTGAATTTAAATATTTGGAGTGTTTTGGTTATGGCGGTTATATAGAGGGAGGGGGATTCTGCTTCCGGAATAACCTAGAAAATGGGCTAGGTGTTGCGATTTGGGGTTATTCGCAAGAAGATTCCCGTATGTATCGTGAACGCGCTTTTGACGGTTCTGTTAGACTACGCGCACAGCTGATATCATATTACGCGACCTTTTACTTATTTTTTTAGTTTAGATTTCTTTGGTATTTGTTTCGAATTATTCGATAATTAAATAATATATTTTTGTAACTGTTATTTAATGTGTGTACAGAATATTTCTTTCAAAATATACTTCATTAAAAAGGTTTTTTTTTTTTTTTTTTTGAATAACATTAAAAAAAGGTTAAATCTCAAAAGCAACAAAATTAAACCCGCCCCGTATCCGCTACGGGTGCAATTTTTAAAACCCGTACCTACCTATTAACTAATGGGGTGGGGATTACCCGATAAATTTTGGGGCGGGGCGGAGTACCCTGTAGGGTCGGTTAAATTACCATCCCTATTTTAAAATCCATAAAAAAATAATATACTTTTTTCCAGTGTAACAATGTTTAAAACTTTTACATTTCTGTAATGCCCTGAAACATACTAGAAAAGCTAGAAAAAAACTTGAAACTTTGAAATTTAACATCCCCAGTTAAAGAAATACACTAAATGTGTTTTTCTCTTGTACAAATTTCACCAGTGCCTTTGTACAGATCACAACTGATGCTGATAATCAATAACAACAAAAAAGGTGATTAAAGAAAAATACATCAAAATAAATGAAGCACATGCAGATTTACCACATCGTTCGAAAATGTTCAACAGAAGATGATTCAATCTTGAAAAACAAATAAAAATTAAAGTCGCCAACTTTTCCCCGTAAATCAATAGGATCGGAAATCTTCTTTCGTTTCCGTAACTAAAAAGGGCTTTTTTTTTTTTTTTAAATGTTTACTTAGTCTCTTGCAAGGATATGACAGACTCAAAGGCTCCAGCAAGTGCTTTAACCCTATTTTTCCTCTGTTCACGAAGCCTGCTCGCCGTTTCCTCTATATGATCGTTCGACACTCCACATTCTTTTTTCCCATGTGCCATTACTTGTACCTTCGGTCCTTGATTTTCAACTGCTTTTAGCTTTTCTTGCACAACAACTTCTTGTACTTCTGCTTGTTTAGTTTCAACTTCACTAGCTTCTGCTTCTTTTGGCTTTTCTTGCACAACAGCTTCTTCTACTTCTGCTTGTTTAGTTTCAACTTCACTAGCTTCTGCTTCTTTTACCTTTTCTTGCACAACAGCTTCTTCTTCAACTTCTGCTTGTTTAGTTTCAAATTCAGTATCTTCTGCTTCTTTTGGCTTTTCTTGCACAACAGCTTCTTCTTCTACTTCTGTTTGTTTAGACTCGTGAGATTCTGCTTCTTTTACATTTTCTTGCACAACTGCTTCTTCTTGCACTTCCGTTTGTTTAGACTCGTGGGATTCAATTCGACTAGCTTCTGCTTCTTTCTCGTTCAATGCTACTGCTTTTGCTTCTTCTTCTTGTTGTTTCTTCTTCTCCTCAGTCTCTTCATTAGGGTTACCTGCGACACTTTCATCAGTACTATTAATGTTATTCGATTCATCGACGCTATGTTCTTTAACTTCCTCTTGCTTGCTGCTTATTTCTTCTGTCTGTGATTCGATTTCTGGATCGTCTGTCTTAACTCCAGGAGAGACATCCTGGTTTTCCAACACTGTAGGAGACTCCACATGTTCTATATCTGTCGGAGAATCGACTGTCGTTATCTTGGAATCCTCGTGTTTTTGATCTGTAGGAGACTCAACTGTCACAATCTTGGATTCCTCGTGTTTTATATCTGTAGGAGAGCTAACTGCAACAATCTTGGAAGAATCCTCGTATTTTATATCTGTAGGAGAGTTGGCGGTCACAATTACAGCATCCTTATCATCTTTCTCCGATTCGCCTTCACTCTGCTCGATACTTACCGGTTCTAGATCTTCTTCCATCACCAAATTGTTCGACCCCTTTTGGTCAACGCTTCCAATTTTGACCGACTTTTCGTCTTCAGCTTCATCGGTGCCAGATTCTTGATCTTTGGACAACGTTTCAGGTTCCGGAACATTAAGTAAGTCGAGATTATCGACTTTGTCAGTAGGGCTAGTCACCACTTGTTCCTTTGCAGCAGCCTCTTGCTTTTTGACGATAACGCCCCCCTTCTTGCTAGTAGTATTTACAGGCCTAGCGTACAAACCGTGCTGTTTCGAGTTCTTTTCCAAAACCCCTCTCTGCGACGAGGCAGTAGTGCTTTTCGCAGAAAACGAGGAAGATCGGAGAGTGGGACTTGGAGAAACACGCGATTTTTGCGTTTGGGAAGAAGATGACGGTGGTTTGTCGAACGATCTTCTTCTCGTAAGACTGGCCTTGTTAGTGCTGTCTGAAGTGGCTGATAAAAATGGTTTTTTGCCTTGTTGTTTGGAGACAAAATCGTTGCCCGAAGATAACGTGGGCTTGAGATAATTCGGGACGGGTTTTTCGGATGTAGTAGAATCGTGGGTTTTTGCTGGGGAGTTGTTTTTCGAAGGATTGGGACTTCGTTTGGTCTGTGTCGTGTTGGGCAAATACGAAGGAGAAGTTCCTCTCTTCTCCTTTCCAGGAGGACCACTCTCTCTTGTTCTTGATGTCATAATCTCTTTATACACTACCACTTCTTATTTACCTGCATTTTATATTAGGGTTTTTTTTCATTTCAAATCATTTAGTTTTGTGCTTTTCTTAGTTAATTGATGATTATGCGTTGGATCTCGATTGAGTTCTTATAAAAATTATATAAACATATCTCGATTAATCGTATATTGACAACCAAACGAGACTGTAACTGTATATAAATGCAAGGGGAGCATTATCACAAATAAATGTATATATTTATACATTTATATGATTGACTCCTTGATATTTATATGATTAATCTACAAATAAATGTAAGATTTCTCAAGAACTATATATCCCTATATAATGTTGTACTTCTCAAGTATCTACGATAATCGAAGATTTCAATTTAAAAAAAAAACAAAAAAAAAAAAATTTACTGGTCTTAAAATTTCTAATGGAAAAAAAATATAAATTTCGAGTTCCGATCTTTCGACTATCTTTCGTAAATTGAACTGACGAATTGAATATAGATAAAGCAGAAACACACAGAGCAAACAATTAATACTAAATACAATGAAATGTAAGAGATATGTACCTTGGTCCTTGTACAACGTCAAAAGAAGAAAGAAGGCCTTTTCTCCATCAAATGTTGAAGAACAATGAAAAAAAAAAAAAACTAAGGCATTTATGTAAGGAAGATGAATATATGAATATTAAGGGGAAGTCGTGTTGTTTTTGGCAGTTGGGAAATCGGTTAGTTGAATGTAGAGCGTAAATCATGCAGAGCCCAAGATGCAAATTAGGCGTGGGAAGCACTTACATACATATTATTCTTTTCGAATTTAATTTACTCTTATAGCTAATTTAATTAGTACGTTTTAAATAATATTTTTTGACCATTTCAATTTGACTTATATATATATATATATATATATATATATATATATATATATATATATGTGTGTGTGTGTGTGTGTGTGTGTGTGTGTGTGTGTGTGTGTGTGTGTGTGTGTGTGTGTGTGTGTACATTGAATCATCACTTACAAGTTTATTAATGTTTACAATCAAATTTGTATATAGATTTTTTTTTAAAAAAAAATGGAAACTTATTCATTTTATTGATTTAGTAGTGAAAGGTACATAATTTGCTATGTTGAGGGTATAAAACTCAAATGTCTAATTTTTGTTCGACTGTATTTTTAATATTTACTAGCTTCCCCCGTTGTCGTATCCAATTATTTCGAAAATGGGTTCTTGTATTTGTTTTTATGTTTTGGTGGCGTTCCTGTGTTCGTGCTACATAGTCAGGTGCATTATAATTGATAGTGTAATTATATCCAATTTAATCACGGGATTTCATAAATGGCGCTCCAGTTTTAATAGTATCGTGTTGACTTGAAATGCGATTGTGATTGGTTTTTTGTGTTGGATTTGGCTAAACTCTAAACACGAAATTTGTAGTTCTTTTAGTTGGCTTTCTAACCCACTTAAATCATAGCGATCAGATGTCGAATGAGAAAGATGTGTACTAATCAATAAACATTGCCAAAACTTTGATGTTTTAAGTTATTCAATCTAACTGATTCAAGTTGGATTAGTTAGTTAACTTAAATGACTATAGTTTCCATGCTTTGAATTTTGTCCAGATCAAAACTAGAAAAAATGGTCAAAATTGCGTCTGAACTTAAAACGGTATTAGAAAAATCGAAACAACATTTAACATTTCAGTTCGATCAATTATCAATCCCATCAACATCCCCAAACTAGGTCAAATAATATTTATTAAATACTAAAGCATAATATTTCCAAATTATTTAATGAAAAATACAGATAATCAAAGTGAACCCACTCACAAGTCACCAAATAACAAAATGCTAATCATGGGACCCGTGTACATGAAAAGTTGATGTACCATTTGCTAATTTAATCAAGAAAATTAAAAGGGTCAATTATCAAATGTCATACCAAAGTTCGTGTAGCCCAATCATACCTAGTAATGAATATATAATCCAATTAAATAAATAAAAATAAATATAAATGGCTAAAAGATATGACCAAGAAAAGAAAGATGGTGACATGATGTAATAAAACAAACTAGTATAAATGTTATTATTATTAAAAATGGAATTAAAATAGAGAGAGGTGCAATAATTTAATTGGTTGTGATGTAGCCAAGTGTTGCACTTTGAGGTTAGTGGTGGGGTTTTCTAATTGGTTTAGTCCACACAAAAAACAAGCAAATTGTAGACATTCATAATGGATAGTATTATTTGGTTACTTATCTTTATTAAGGTTTAGTTGTTAGGTTTTTTGTGTATTTGTGGGCACAAATAAACCCTATCCCTAATTTTATTTTCTACCAAATATATGATATTACATCATTCACCTTCCCACAATTAAGGATTTGTTCATTTAATTATTTGTGAAGTGGTTAGATAGAAATAAGGTAAGTGGAGAGTGAGAGAAAATAAAAAGTTATTTAATTTGAAAATATTCATTTAAATCTTTTTAAACGCTTCACTGGTTGTTCATCGAATTTCGCTGAATATAACATCTACAAAATTATATAAAAGACTTTGATTGGGTTTTTTTTTTAATTAAGAAATGAATTCTAACTAGGGTTAAGTTAGGTAATGGAGTTAGGCACAACATTTATTGGTTAATGTTAACTATAGGCTCATAAATTATAATTGATGCTTCATAATTGAATTAGAAGTTGCCAACATTTAGATTGAGTGGAATTTCTAATTGTGGCCAAATATTTAATAAAATGTATTAAGTGATGTCATCCAATGTATTATTACAATGATAATATTTAATAATCAATTAATACAATATACAAAAAAGAAAAAATAATATAATAATCAAACACCGCTATTTTTTATATTTTCATTATGCTCGAATTGAATAAACTTGTTTCAAAATCAGAATTTTTTCGAATCGAAACTGGAGAAAGTCAAAATCATTTTTTTTTCATTAATCAAAATTGAATCTCGTATTTATTCCAATTCTGATCCAAAAATAAAATATATATAATTTTTTGAAATTCAAAAATATAGTTCCAAAATTAAAAATATTAAAATCTCAAAAAAAATATATTTCAATTTCCATCAATAATTAAATGAACAAACCCCAAAAAAAAAATTCTATGTGGGGAGTCGGTGGGACCCACACCAACCTGTGGGCGGCCCAAAAAATGAAACATCCAAACCCAATCGTTGACCGTAGAAACACACAAAGATCAAACAAAATCGGACGGCTGAAATCGATTGAAAGAACACAAAAGGCAGGACGGCAATCCAGCAAAGGTTTGTTGAGAATTTGTTTACGATTTATGGTTAGTGTGCAACTCTCCTTATCTCCCCTCCCCATTTGCCTCGGATCTTTAACATTATATATTATATTCACACGCACATATATATACATATTTTTTGTATATATATTATATATTATTATATATTAGTTTCAGAATATATAAGTATATAGTTTAATAATAATAATAATAATAATAGACACCACACCACGTCTTTCTCTTTGTCTGAAAAGGGCGAAGCCCTCTTCTCGTATCGCGTAGTAGTTGCTACTTTCTCTTTCTAATTTCTTTTTGTAATAAGAGAGAGAAAATCGAAAGAAAAGGTGAAGAAACAAAGAACAACAAGGTTTGTCTGAATATCTGTTTTCTTGATTATCATCGGTATTTTCTTTTTCTTTTTAGTTTTTTTGATTTCTGATTGGTGTTTGAAGATTGAATTTTTTTTTTTTGATTTATTGATTGAATTTATTTATTTATGAAGTGTTTGTTTTTGTTGATGATTCTGAATGGGTTAATTGATTTGTTTTTGCTCTGTTTATTTTTTTTATCCAAAATTATTAAATTTGATTTTTTTTTAATATGGGTTTTGTTTCTTGTTCAATTTAAGGTTGGTGAAGTTTGTCTAATATTTGTATTGGAAAAATTGACTTTCTTGGAGTTTTTTATTTATTTACTAAAATTTGTTCATCATCATCTTTATTTTGTGTGAATTCATAATTTGTTAGTATTTAAATTCGAGCACGTGCAGATTGTTTGATATGGAAGAAAGTGAGGAGTCATATTTGCTTCAGCTTTTTTGGTGACTTTGATTCTGATGAAAAAAGAAAAAAGAGTATCTTTTCATTAATAGAAAGTGTGAAGCAATCAAATAAGTTATTGCAGAAAATTTTCGGTTACGGAAAAATAACAACGAAAACTTGTGTTGACTGTATATACAGATATAGATATATCTATATATATACATGTGTGTATATATATAACACGAAGAATATATGGATACTCGATGTTTTTATGTGTGCCTCAACATCTTTGATAACATCTTGGTGTATCGATTTATCTCTATTTATTTCCCTTTAACGTTAGCTATTTATATGTAGTATTCGTATTTATCACTTCCCTTTCCTCGTTCGATGAAATGAGCTCCGTCAGGTGTTTTTTTTTTTTTTTTTTTTTTTTTTAACTACGTCAATTTTTTCTCGATAATGATAATTTTGTTGGTGTTCGGTTTGACTAAGATTCATCTTATGACTAAACAGTCTTTCTTATTCGAGGTTAATGATGTCGGTTAAGGTTTTTTAAAGGCTAAAAAAGATTTGTTTTTTTTTGTTTTCTTGGAACAGAACTACGACTAATCATGGATCGATGTCCCGGTAAGAGAGTTACAGCTGGCGGTGGCACGATTATGTCGCCCAAAAAAGCATATTCCGTTGCTTATAAAGGCACATCAAACGAAGGGGATCAAAACACTCAGTTTTGCAACCGAATTGGATGCAGCGGAAGAATCAAATGCAGTCAAAATCCAAGATTTGGAAGCTCCGATTGCAATTCAAGAACCAAGTGCAATGCAAATCCAAGAATCGGAATCTCCGATAATAATAAAGCCAAATATGCGAAGCCCACTTTCTCCTCTTCAAACGGAAGCGAAGCAAACCGGAATTCCTCTAGGGTTACTCCCGTTTCGACCGCTGGTGCAAAAAAATCGAATCTTGATTCAAAGCGAAAGATGCCTTCTCAATCAAAACCCGATCCCTCGGAAAGTAGCAGTCTTTCGAGCGAATCGGAATCGGTGAAAAAATCTGAAGAAGGGCTTAACACTTCGGAATACGGGAGTTCTAGTGTATCTTCGAGCAATAATAATAGACCTCGAAAAATATTTCAGCATAAATACGGATTATTAAAGAACCAAAACACCCCTCATTCGCCATCTTCATCCCTTCCATCAACTTCTAGAAGCTCCCCACAAGGGCCGTTCAATAGGGGCAAATACGGAATCAGGAATCTGAAATGCAATTCGATTTCGGACGTCGTACGTCCTAATAGCGAAGTGGGACCCGTTGGTAAAAATTCGATGAAGAGGAGAAGTGTTGAAGGAGAAAGTAGTCTCTCGAGTAGGTGGAGAAACAATAGTGGTATTTCTATTTCCGATTCGACGAGTGCGAACGCGAGAACAAGGCTTTCTCAACACCGACAGAATGGACGAAATGCCGGTAATGAAATAGCCTTTAATGGTGGCGGAAATCCGTTAAGGCAGTTTTCTGCGAGTGGGCCCCGACATTCTAGTAATTCGAGTGGTAGTGGTAATAATTCGTCCACTTCTGATGAAACGGGGTTTGCGCAGTTGATGAGTCATCGGTATAATATGGATGGAATTGCTGAGGTATTAATTATTATCAAGCCCTTTTTAATACGTTCGATTTGAAATAGTTTTGAGCTGGATTTTTTATTTCAAGATTCTTTTTTTAATGTGATATCTTTTTTATTTCATTAGGTGCTATTAGCTCTTGAGAGGATCGAACAAGACGAAGAGCTGACACATGAGGTATTCTTTCTCGTCTTTTTTTTGGCAATAAAAACGTATGGAAATTTGCGATTATAATTTATAATAATCTTTTTTTTTCTTACACAGCAAGTACTTGCATTGGAAACCAGTTTATTTCTAAGCGGCCTCAATCTCTATGATCAACATCGAGACATGAGATTGGATATCGATAATATGTCATACGAAGTTCGTTTTTTTTTTCTTTTTTTTTTTTTAAATTTATTTATTAATTCTGTCTTGTTTAAATAGATAATAATAACCTTAATATTATGTATTTTTTGACAGGATTTATTAGCTCTAGAAGAGAAGATGGGTACAGTCAGCACAGCGCTCCCAGAAGATGCTTTGTCGAAATGCATTAGGAGAAGCGTATATAAGGTGGTGGGCCCACCCAAAGTACAAATTACAGAATCGGACGACGATGATAATGACATCAAATGCAGTATTTGCCAGGTAATTAATTAATTTTTATTAACTGTTATTAGTTATTACTTTCGAATTGAAGAGGAGTCTTAAAAAAAATCGATTTTACGAAAAATGCATAATTATTTTCAGGAGGAATATGTGGTGGGGGACGAAATCGGAAATTTGGTGGAATGTCAACACGGATTTCACGAAAAATGTGTGAATCATTGGCTTCAGATGAAGAATTGGTGCCCGATCTGTAAATCTTCGGTGGCTCCATCGAAATTATCGTCGTCTTAGTGTAATAAAAGTTGTTAATATACAGCTGCATTTCTTGAAATTTTTTTCCTTCTGTTTTTTATTTTTATTTTCATTTTAATGGTCACAGTGTAAATAATTCTCTGTTGTGTATTTGTTCACTGTCTGCACATATATGCAAGTGCAGTTATTCAAGCATCCATTTTGGTTTGCTTTCTAATTTTATCATTTATTGTAACTCTTTTATATATGTATATATGTGTGTGTATATATATACACATATATGTTATGTATGTATTTTGAATTGTAGATGTTTCCTTGGTGCACATTTTACCTAGTGTAGCATACATTTTTCAAAGTTTGGTTTTCATAAATTTCACTGTAAATTAAAAAACCTTGCTATTTGATGATGGAATCAAATGATTGATTTTTTTTTTTTTTTAAAGATATATATTGGTGCTTAGATTAAAAAAAGAAAGTTCTGCAATTCTAGTCGAGTATCTGCATGTTTAACTAAATATATTGTTGGGGATACACTTTGTAACAAACATTTTACCACCATAAATACAAGACATAATGAGTTCAGAGGAAGAAGATACAAACACAGATAACTCCAATCTACGGTTCAATTCTGTCGTATGGTCAAATTATTTGTTCCGAATATCCAAATGGAAGCAACACTAACAGTTTCAAGCACGAAGCATTTACCCTGACTGAGAAACTGTAGATTTACCCCCACTCACTAGTGAGTTGTCGTATGGTCAAACACAGTCAATCAGTTAACAAGGAACACTCTTAATCACTCGTCAAACTCAGTATTTCACTACAACATATTCAATCTACTCACAGAAGACGAAGATTGAAGACATAAAGTGGTTTGAATTTGAAAAGAGCGTGTTGCTCTTATCTCTCTCTAACAACAGTATATATAGCCAACAAAGCAACGGTGTAGTATACTATTGAATGTGCCTCAGAGTTTGTCTCCCATTGTACAGAGAAGACTGTACAATGTTGCCAGAAAAAGACTGCAGATAGATAGATAGAGAAGAGGAAAGAGGCGATGCGGAAGAAATGGAAGACAGATTAGAGTTGAGACCTTTTAAAGTACTGAATTAACGGTCAAGATTAATCAAGAAAAAATAGGTGGTCAAGATCATTCGAGCTGGACTTTTTTGAGTGTCAGCTGAATCTAATGTTATGCACTTATGCTACCGTTATGATTAAAGTGGGATTGAGCCCAGTCAAGAATAATTTATGCTTGAGCCCAAAATCCTCACATATACATGCATAGATCTATAATAATTTATACACTATATAGTATAATACAATACGATAAAGTTCATCGAGTGTAGTATAAAACAAATTGTCCCAAAAAGCTAATAACTTGAAAGATAAGGGGTTAAAATGAAAATATTATAATTCCTGTATGTCGGCCGATAATTAATCGAAATTACACTACTGGCACACTTGCAGACGATCGCGCTTGCGCAAGACGATACGACACCGTTTTACATGACCGCTCTATATATAAAGTAGCCATATATATAAATAGATATTTTACAGAGCACAATCGAAGCGGCGAACCCTCACAATCTTCATTTGTAAGCATTTTCCGTCGGTAATCGAAACCTAGAGAGAGAGAGAGAGAGGAAAAGGAGAAGAGAGAGAAATGCCTGGATTGACGTGCAACGCGTGCAACACTGAATTTCTGGATGATGTTGATCAGAAACTCCATTACAAATCCGAATGGCACCGTTACAACCTCAAACGCAAGGTTTCCCCCTTTTTTTTCCCTCTTACTTTCCTGATTTATTTTAATTGTTTGTTGGTCGGCTGTTGTTATTTCTTCGTATTTTCCGGAGTATGTGACGAAAATGGATTTTTAATTTTTTTTTTTATTTTATTCAGTTTTTGATATATTTAGGTTTTGATACAAGGACACCCGATATGTTAGTTCCCTTATTTGTTGTTTGAAAATAGTTGAATGTTACTTTGGATTACGGTTTTGTGATTCGAGGAACTGATTTCTCTGTGTGAATTGGTATCATGGATTTGGAAGTGGTTAGCGAAGTTGACAAACTCTCGGGATATAAGAACTGAATGCGAATTGAGCTCTTTGATTTTGATTAAATTTTTTTCGAATGGGTCAAGTGCCCGAATCATTTTGAGTATGAAAGATGAATTTTAATGGAGGAGTGTTAGACTTGTTATTTACGAGACTATGCCCAGACTAGCTGACTGTAGTTTTATTTCTGTTTGGAGTATTCTTGCTTGATAGACGATTCTTGCCATTGAGTTTTTCTCGCAACGAATATTGCAATCTCTTTGACATGTTTCTAACCAGACATGGAATCAGTGATTAACATTAAATAAAAGGGCTTATGAGATTAAACACATGGACCTTCTGCTACACCTAAAGCCTGTAATGACTTCTACAAATATATAATATTTGTGGCCAAGAATTATGAGGATGAATAGAGTTCACCGGTTTTGTCGAGGACTCCTATATAAGTTTGTTTATCGGGTGCACCCTCTAGTTCATCCTACCCTCTTGTAGGAGGATTGGATTGCTGTGGGTAGCCAGACTAATTAACTAATTACAGAATATATGCACAGTTCGTTTTCTCTTTTTCTTTCTCCCTGTTTTGATGTCGGAATCCTTCCATGCTGTAAACTTGTTAATATATTGAACACTTGTTATTAGGTTTGATTTGAACGACTTTTTCGATGCATCTTCATAGATTGGAGTTTGGAGTTTTCCTTTGTCGTATTAGAGAGTGTTGTTGCTGTTTCAGATTCTTTCATTATTTAAATATATGATCATGTCTATTGTTGTAGTTCCTCTATTTAATCTTGCATTTTACATGTCGTGTTTATCGAACAGGTTGCAGGTGTTCCTGGAGTGACTGAAACACTCTTCATAGCCAGACAATCTGCCATTGCAGAAGAGAGAGGGAATTTAAACGTAACTCCCATGATGTATAGCTGTGGCTTTTGTGGCAAGGGTTACAGAAGCTCTAAAGCCCACGCACAGCACCTACAGTCTAAATCTCACTTGATAACAGTCTCCGAAGCGACAGGTGGCAAAGACGAAGGGAGCACAATAATCAAACCTCTTCGCCGTGTGGCAAAACAGCCTCCCAAACACATGGTCGAAGAAGACGAAGACTCCGAAGACAGTGAATGGGAAGAGGTTGATCCTGAAGAAGACTTGATCAGTGAAAACGGTGATGCTTTGGGAAAGCTTAATCTGAATAAGAATTCTTCTGATGCTGACATGGATGAAGATGACGAGGACAATTTTGAAGATTTGGATCCATCTTGCTGCTTTATGTGTGATATGGAGCATGGTACTTTAGAGAGCTGTATGGTGCACATGCACAAGTACCATGGATTCTTTATTCCTGATATCGAGTATCTGAAGGATCCTAAAGGTCTTCTTACTTATCTCAGCCTCAAGGTAATCACTTTTTGTTTATACTAAGGCCTCGTAATAAGATTGATAAGATTGATTGCTTTGGATAGGATTGCACATTGTCCATGATAACGTAATATTATCTTATATCTAGAATAAGTGCTTGTATCGGGTGATGTCCTTCATAGGATTTTGTAATTAATAGGGGTTCAGATTGGACTAACTGTGCTTGATTAAATTTTGAGCCAGTCTTTTATCATGGGCTTCAAACTTGGAAACCAAACATTTGATACGCTATGATTATATTGTGTTTCATCAGGTTAAAAGGGATTTCATGTGTTTGTACTGCAACGAGAGAACTCATCCTTTCAACAGTCTGGAGGCAGTTCGAAAGCACATGGAGGCAAAAAGTCACTGCAAAGTACACTATGGTGATGGAAGTGAAGATGAGGAAGCTGAGCTAGAAGATTTTTATGACTACAGCAGCAGGTTTTTCATTTTTGCTTTTTCTTTCAGGCGAAAAGGATTAGTTATTCCATTTTTCTCCCCGACATATCTAACCTGTTATATTTATTTATTTTTCGAATTAGTTATGCGGATGTGAATGGGAAGCAACTCGTTGCAGCTGATGACATCCAGAATGGTATTGAACTTGGTAGTGGTGGCTCGGAACTAATTATAACCAGAAGAGAAGATGATGGTGCAGTATTGACCAAAATGCTTGGATCGAGGGAATATTTGAGATACTATCGCCAGAAACCTCGCCCCACTCCTGCAAATAGTGCCTTAACTAACGCATTAGCTGCAAGGTATGTCAATAAAACTCTTTCTATTTCACACACACACACACAGTTATATATTGATATATGTCATTTAGAAGAATATTCTAGTACTTTCTTCACAGTCAGAAAAAACGACCCCTCGCATATGCATTGTTTTTGGGATGTGGGAAGTCGTGGGATTGGATTCAAATCTTTGATTGCATTGGAAGTTGTGAAAAATAATGTTCGATTCATATATGCAGGTACAAGACCATGGGACTAGCAACTGTGCAGTCAAGAGAACATGTAGTAAGGATGAAAGTAATGAAGGCGATGAACAGGTCAGGTGTTGACATCATGCGCTCTAAAATGGGTATGAAGAGTAACGTCATTCGCAATCTTCCTAAAAACATTCCGTATTAGTCCCAATTTTTCGTGTTTTTTTTTTGTTCTTCTGATGAACTTCAAATGTATTTGGAAGTTGTGCTGTATTAGTACAATGTTTTTGTATCTCCCGGCTTTTGAACTGCTCAACCTATAGACTGGTTTTCTATGTCATGACTATCAAATTTTATCTGTTTCAAATTTTACCTGTTTCAAATTTTGTCATTTTTTTTATTGCGAGTTTAATACGTCAAAATTACGAAAATGTTTTTTTTTTCCTTCGTATTTTTTTGTTAAATGAGTTATTTTTCGATGGAAATCAGTATGTTTTCCTAAACATGCTGATTAGATATACATGTGAAATGAATAATTCATTGAGCAAGACCTGTTCTTTTTATGTCATGTACACTAGCCGGAAATCGAACAGGTTGAATCGGGATTAGCATATCGAAAAGATGTACGATTTTTTTGGAAGTGAAAATTAGTTCCTTCAATTTTTTATTTATTTTTTCAAAATTGATAAGCTGGTGCAATATCCTAGAATCGAATACTGGATGGGGGTGGGTCCTGGGGGGCGAGGGATGTCGCATTTTTTGTGTCATTTATCAAAAAAGGAAAAGGGCTTATGTTCTTTACACGCAACTGATGCATCAACATCCACATCTTTACATACAACCACACATATACGTATAGAATATAGATGTGTGTAACACATGCATTCATCTATATATAAGTGTGCATCACAAAAAATAAAACTGGCAAAATATTAATGGTCTATGATGAAGCCAAATAATAAATAAATAAATTTGGCTACGATACATTATCAGAACAGGCAGAAGACTAGATCCTATCAATTGTTGAATTCGATTTGATCATCGAATAAGCTTAAGCTAAGTTTGTCAACAAAATATTAACAAGAAAACATTGAACAAATAATTATTGCACATTAAATTCCAAATACGAAATAATCCTCCGAAACGAAGGAAAAAAAAAGTGACCGAAAAACGAAGGGCAATCCAAGTATTTTTACATGTCATTTAACAGTGCCAACATCGACTTGTGTCCACTTTCGACTGAACCAAGATGTTGTAATAAGCTTTCCTTTTCCATTCCACAGCTATAATGAACTCTATTCTGTAGCGCAATTTAAGATGAGGTTACTAACGTAATTTGTACAAACGATCCAAAAAAGTTTTCGATATTGACAAATTCATGTAATAGTAAATTGAACACTGCTTACCTAGTTGTCATAAAAACGGGAGCGGCGCCTACGAGAGCTGTGACAAAAAAAACACGCACCAACGTAGCATAAACTGTAAGAAGTTGCCGGTTTCGGAGAAAACCAAAAGAAAAATTACCCCTTATAACAAGTTCTAAATAGAAGTAATTAAATCATTGAATAGATAGTCGAATTTGAGTATCCCACCCAAAAATTCAGATAGCATCACCCCCAAATCTATGACCTCGTAAAAATCAATTCAGCATTTAGTTGGACTTAAACCAATAAAACCAACCATGTATGAACATTCAAGAAAACAGGACATGCTATTCATTGCTCGTAAAACCACACATATCATAAGGCAGTAAATTCTATAGTATCCCTTCTTTCGGTAACTCTCATACGTACATACATATATAGGTCGGGGGGGTGGGGGGGTGGGGGTGCTTGTACACATAAGCATTTGCTCACCTTTGTTGGGCAGCTCTTCCTCTAGATAATCTCCTCGCACTAGCAAACTCATCTTCCACCTCGTCAAGTCTATAATCTGCGTACTCCACAGACGAAACAGAACCCTCGTCCGAATTCGAAGCATCGAAACTCAAACGCCTGTTCCCTCTTCTAGAATCGGCCACCCTCGATCTCCTCCTATTCCTGGACGCCCTAAAATTATCAAACACCTGATATAGCATGCAAGAAGTCCACCAGTTCCCACCCTCCCCACGAAAGTTCTCGAAATCATCCTCCGAATAATCATCCCCATACTCAATCACGTAATCACCCAAAACCACTCCACGTGGCACCTCCGAATGGATGGTGCTCAGAACATCGATTATCTCCGACGACTGCTGGAAATTCTCCCAGTCCAGCTGGCGGGCGGGGTCGATTTTCGAAGGGCATGATTGCGGGTGCTCTAATTTTGCATGCTTTTGAAGCTCGATAAACGTGCCGGAAAATCGGCATTTTTCCTCATCACAAGAACGTTTCTTGATATCTAAATTCTCGCGGGCCTTTTCGGCCACAATCCAACCCGTGACTTCTCCTCTGCAGAGGGGGCAAAAGGGTTTGGTGTCGGATCCCGAATCTTCTACAAGCTTTGGATTATCGGAGGAAATCGGGGCTTGTGGGCCAGGTGGCATACCGTTCGCCTGTTTGAAACGGACCAGGCAGTTGGAGTGGAGATGGTCCGTATCGCACACGAAGGAGCGGCACCCTTTGGAGTAAGACGAGCATTGGAGAAGAACTGCATTGTGGGGGTGGTCTAGGCATATGGGGCATATGACATCATTCCAGTTGGTATACAACTGTGATTCTTCTATAGAGCTCTCTTCCACCATAAGTTTCATATATAGTAACTGAAAATGGAAGTTTCGTAAATCAGAATTAGCCCTCGTGGAATAATAGACAAACACATGCAGGTTTTAACCGGAAAAAAAAAAAGAGGGCGATGCATTATACATGTATTTAATGACCCCGTATAATGCATAGAAGAAAGGAGTAATTAGAACAGTTCGCCTTTATTACTCCCACTCAAAATTACACTTTTGAATTTGTTTGTCGACTAGTCCCCCAACATCGACACGTACCACCCAAATAAATCAAGAATTCAGAAAATCGAGAGCACTGCCCATGCACAAAAAATATCAAAAGCATGTCTCCGTTACATACAAATAGTTACGCCACTATCTCATCCGTTATAAAAACCAACGAAACCTCATGGTAAATACCTCCATTCCCAACGAGTAATCGATAAATTAATAACAATAAGTGCAAAAATTAAATAAACCTCATGACCATGTTTCAAAATCTACTCGTTTTTTTTTTCCGAAATTCGACAAGCTTTGGATGGTTGCCAAGAGATTTATATTGCCAGGAACACAAAACATAAGAAGATCCCTTCCCCTCAAATCATATGCAAACCCCCATTCATATAAACACATTTATACCTTCAATTCCTTTACTGAACAACACAATTAATGAATTCTCCTTCGGGCATTATTTATTTTACAGTAAAAATAAACAATTATTACAGATTAAATGAAGCTCTTTCTCATTAATTCACATTAAAATAAAATTAAAAAATCTCAACACAAGCTGAATAGATTCTCACTCAAAAAGCTCCACATAGTTCAAAGCGGCATCAAATCAATCAGCCAAATAAAAAAAAATGTATATATATATATACATATATACATACATATATATATATATCACATCATAATCATAGGGCTAGATAATCACGGAAGAATCAAACAATCCAATTCACTGTAACACAAAAGTCAACCGACCAATTTTCGATACGACCAGAAAAAAAAAATTAAAAAAAAATCAGGAGCTACTATGTGGGTGTGCTTGTATGTATTGTGTAAGTATTGTGCATAGAGAGAGAAAGAGCTGAACCTGGACAATTAAATTGTTCTTTTAGAGAGAGAAAGAGAGAGAGAGAGAGAGAGAGAGAGAGAGAGAGAGAGAGAGAGCGCCTGGGGAATGGAAAAGTAAACTCGAGAGACAATGGGGGGTCTGGTTTTTATAAAGCTGTTGAAAATTTCACGGTGGGTGGAGGGCGTTTTCGTCTTTTCATATATACATATATTATTTTAATTTATTATACTTTTTTATTTTAATAAATATGTCTTGGAAGATTACCAAATATGAAAAGACAAATACCATAAATTAAATTAGTCCGTATATACCATAATATATACTATAAAATAAACTAAGTGACTGAATACTCATTCTTATTAAATATTTATCAAGTAATTAAAGAGTAATTTGAGTCAAATTTAGAAAAAGTTGCAATTAATGCATCATTAGAACTTTGGAGAGAGAAATAATTTGGAAAGAAAATATATTTAATTAATTATGTAATTTCATTCTTCGATATTTATCTTTTTTCATCTATTTTTGCTTAAATAATTACTTATACTAATTCCATAAACTTATACAATTTAACAAATTCCCTCATTTTAAATCTCACAAACTGTTACGTTTTTTCTTCTTCTAATTTTATCAATTGGGAAGCGACGATAAACTAAATCGACGACGATAATCTCATTTTTCAAGTAAAATTTTTCATTTTTTCCGAAATTTTCTTTTCGGTTATTCCGTGTTGGTCAATAAAATCTCCGTATTCGAATGTAATATAATTTTATTTGTTAATAATATTTTTGTAAAATAAATAAATTATTAAAAATATAATTTTATTTGTTAAAATAAATTCTTGCCTTGTTTGTTGAATTTATTTATTTATTATTCTTAGATATATTCTTTGATAAATGTACATTAAAAGACAGACTTCAATTAATAATCTTAAAAGAGGTTTGGGCTAAACATTAGAAACACCTGATAGATAGATAATCAGTTGCACATTTCAAATTCCCCAAATTTTCCCCCAAATGTCAACTTTCCGATCCGGCGCCGGCGGAAAAATTGTGACGAATCGCCGGAAGGAGCGGCTGGCCGCCACCCCATACGACCGCCCTCCAACCCAGCCTTCACGTCCTCCGCCAGCAAAAAGCCCTAATTGGTTCACCGGTATCGTTGTTCCGTCCGCCCGCGCTCTCGCTTCCGGCGCCGGGAAAATCCTCTCGTCCATCTTCTCTGAGTCCGAATCATCCTCTTCTGAAGACGAGGAGTCCGGTTCAGGTACGCATTCACCTCGTTCGCGTTGTCTTTATTTTTCGTCTTTTAAAAAATTTCTTCAAAAAAAAAAAAAAAAAAAAAAAAAAATTTATTTTTCCATCTACCGTAATTATGTTTCAAAATTGTTGCTCGTATCTCTGAATTTTGCCGGGTTTATACGCGGTTACCACTTCACGTATCTTCTCATAAGGAACTCCGTTAAGTTCAAATGGAAGTAGTCACGTTTTTAGCATGAGTACATGTAACCTTTGTCGAAGTTAAGAGAGATAAATTAGAGCAAGAGTGTTTGGAAATGACTTTATAAAAAGTGAAAATATGATACTGAAGCACCTGATAATCTGGTTCTAATATTTGATTTCAGCTAATGGAGGTATTAGCCAAATTGATTATGAATAAAGGAAAAAAAAGAAGGATATGAAATGACACACTAGAAAATCACTAGATTTGTGAGACAAAATAGGTTTATCTGTATCGTGTAAGTGTGGCAGGGTTAAAGGACAACTTTCAGGATGAGTTTCAAACTTTCGAACATTGCAAAGACTTGGAAGTTGTAAGATTTGTTTGCACAAGAACTGTTGAAATGAAGAGGAATTGATGAAAAGAATTAAGATTGGATTGGTTTTCTTCTTACAATTTTAGGATTTCATACACTTATGGAAAAGCAATTTTACTCGATATATCCCAACATATGAGTTTCCTGGTACACGCCGCACTGTTCGAGTTATTAGGGAAGTAGATGCAATCGATGAATTCAGGCAGAAGATGCTACCTAAAATTTGCAATAATCCATAACACTTTAATCATTATTGCATTTGTGTATATGCTAATAACATGGTTGTAGATATTTCCTTGGAAACTTCTATATGCAAAATCACCATTCAGAGAAACTGGCGTTACCTTGCATTTTCTAGTTCGATGACTTTAGAGTTACCTTCTACAGACTACAAGTTATTACAGTCAGTTCATGCCAGTGCGCTGACTAAATGTAGCAACTTTTAGTGATTTTAATTTCCTCAGCCCTTTTTTCTACATATCTTTTTCCTTTGCTCACATTGTTTGGCTAACAGATATTTGCATTTCTTTTCTTTGGTTTTTTTTTTTTTTTTTTTTTTTTTCCATTTCTTGTGAGGCAGAGGATGACATTGACAACGATAATCACTTTGAGAGCCTTGATTATGGAGTTAACACGTTAAACGAGGTACCCTGTTACTTATTTTATGCATGACCAGAAGGATTTTAAAATGCCATAGGGAATTTACTACTTTTAATTCGCTTTGTGTTCTTAATAGCATGCATTTTAAAACGATTTATTGTGCATGCTAGCTGTAGATTTATCAGTCCATTCTAAGACAAGAAGAATCCTGAACATACAGATCATCATAAAATGTTCCAGACCTTATTCCGGGAGAAAAAGTCTCGTGCAACAATATATTTATATACACATTGCTTTGGTATTCCAGCCAATAAGTTCATCTGTGAATCCGAATTTCGGTGGAATGATTCGTTTTTGTTTATGGTTTGGGAATGCGATTCTGATGTATGATAGATGTAGTAGTATCTTTTGAGTTTGAAATAAGTCTTCACCCAAAGATCAAGATATGTCATGTGGTAAAATTTAGATGATGAAAAGTTTGATTTAACTGCAGGAAACCAATGCATAAGTAATCTTTTAACTACAGCCTTATAGGAGTAAAAAAATGTAATAAGATTCATTTCACTTAACTTAGTTTCTTCATTTATAGGAAAACATGTAAAATTGGTTAGTTTATGGTTTATCTCACCATTGTTGAGCTATTTTGGCCCATTTTTTTGATATCAAAGTTTGATTCTTTCTTTTTCTCATGTAGACAAATGTGAATTCATCAGAAATGATGCAACATGGACAAGATTCTCATTTAAGTGTGTGGAGGGGTGAAACGAAACGGATAATTGAGCAGCTTATTATGCATGAGACCTTTTCAAGGTAATAGCCAGACTTTTGATATTTATATACCTTGATAAATTTTCTGTTGAGTCATTTGTTATATGTATCATTTCTTCTTTTTTCTTCTTTGATGTTCTTATTGTGTCTAGGATTTAACCACCTTGTTTGTGATGAGAAACGATGGTTGCTAAGTTGAACTTATGTTACTATCTGATTTTGGTCTCTATTAATGTTTTGTATTACATACATTTGTTTGACTTCATATGTTAAAGAAAGATCAGAATATGTGAAACATTTAAAACCACTTGCTTTTATTATTTGTCACTAATACTACATTGTGAACTGAGAATTTTTTTGGTACGTACATCATTCTTCAAAACTTGATGCGTGTGCTCTTGAGCACAGGTAAATTCATTTTGTTGCTATTTATTTGATGGTCCGAGCTGCTATCTGTTTTGATCAATTGATATTTGGTGATACTATCTAAGCTTCTCGAACAGATATGTGATTACTCAATGCAGTACATGAACCTCGATTGACATTCATGGGTCATGTATTAATTCGCAGTTCTGCACCCAGTGTGAAAATTAGTAGATTTGTTAGATTACTTGTGCTATGGAAAAAGCTTATTTCTAGCAGACGTATTATTCACCATTTATCCTTTCCTTTTTCAAAATATATCAGAGAAGAATGTGATAGGTTGACTAAAACTCTTAATTCGCGGGTTATGGACTGGTCAATGGAAGCAGGGGAGAAAAGTTCACTTGTTGGCCTTCCAGAGAAGACAGGTGATCCTGGTATTGCTCTTTAAGAAATCTGTCAATCATCCGATTGTGGAAACTTTTCAATTATTAAATAGGCCTCTGATCATGAACAGAAGATGCTGATATATACAACAAAGCTGTTGAGGAAGCTAAAAAATGGTTTCAAGAGAAGAAAGTGGGTTCAAGCTCAGTGACAAAGTTGGCTCGTGGAACCTGTAACCTGAACTCGACTGGGCTTGACCTTGTTAGTGATTCTTCTGCGTTTTTGCTATTAATGTCGTTGTCTTGTTGTTATATTCACCATCTTGTAATATATCCAAATGGATTGTTTCCATCATAGACTCATAGTACCTTGATAATATATGTTCTTTTGGCTCCTCTTGAGTTTAGGAATGTCTCTAAGCTTCAGAAATAAATTTTGATCTGACAATGAGGTTTACCATTGCAGGTAGAAACTGGGTCAGGTTCTCCTGTGGATGTGGCCAGATTCTATATGAAGGAAAGACCACCTTGGGCATCTCCTGGGAGAAATATTGAGTTAAGAACCCCCTTGACAAAGACAATGAAGCTTTTCAATGAAGGAACATCGCATTCGGTTCACCGCGGTGCTTCGTCATCATCAAAGGTTCATTTCTTACTGTTTCTTGTTATTCATTCATTTCTGCTTCAGAAAGATGGTACCTCTTGTGAGAGTTTGTCAATTTGGCCTTCTATTTTCCCCTTTCCGTTCTGCTCTCTTAACATTTTTCAGGGTGTTTTGCTACTAACTTTACACAATTCTAATATCTCTTATGCATCTTTACTTATTGCACAATTTAGTTTAACAAATTGGTTCACAAAATATCAACCATTTTATGTTAAGAGTTTCCGAAACCTCTCGCAGAAAAATGCAATTGTGTTTTACATTGCCCAAAAGTTTGCTCTGTTCTTTCAAAGATTTTGATTTTTTTTCTCATGGAACATTATTTATCCATGGCTGCGACGGCATTTGTCTTGTTTGTACACAAATGTCTCAGTTACTGGTTCCTGTTTTATTTGTTTTGTTGCATGTATCCAAGTGTTTCTTTTTACCATAGAAATGATGGAAAATATATTTATATTAAATCTACCAATATCTAACAGTATAAATTTTTGTATTTGTGTGTGTTTTCTTTCTTTGTTCTGACTTTACTTTTTCACCTCATTGCTCTATTATTGCAATTCACAGAAACGAAGTTCTCTTGCCTCTGGATCATGGAATATCCAGGAAGAACTACGAAGAGTGCGCTCAAAGGCAACAGAGGATATGCTGCGCACTCCATCCAGTAAAGTTGATCCGTCTTTGTTTGCAGTTGAACCAGTTAGGTTGGACTCTGTAGGAACCAGTGAACTAGTTTTTGATATGAGAGAGAGAATGACTGAGCCAGAGCCTTATAGGAACACTAAACCAATAAATGCATTGGTAGATGCAGGAGTGAGCTTCGATCCTGCCCTTGCAGGTTTGTTTTTCTTGTCTAGATGTTCAGCTAGTGGAATAGGTTTTAGATGCTTGTATCTAAAGAACATTGACTTGCATTCTTTGCCCTTTCAGCTTTGGAGTCAAGACAAGATGGCGAGTCACGTGAAGCACGGCAATCTAAGCCAGCTACTTCTATTTCTTGCAATAGCGAGGTACTACATTGGCAAAGTCAGTTTCTTATAGCTGTTTATTCGTCTCTTAAGTATGTGGATTTATAAAAACTGAATCTGGAAATAGGATCGACATACATCTTCCATTAAAAAATTCCCCATTGCACTTCTTAATCATCCTAAAAGACCATGTGTAATTTTTTGAAAGGCCTCAGAAGCTGTTCATGGGGATGGTGAATGTGCAGCATCTAAGTTCCTGCAACCTTCCAGTTCCAACCACGCTGAGGAGCACCAAAATGGTACTCGGCTTTTCTTCTATCCTTGTTGGTTTATATTTTTGGTGGGATACTTTGTTGAGTTATGAAGCTGGATATGTTATTGAGATAATGGTAACTAAATTGATAACCATTTGCTTGGTTATACAAATAGAATAATCAAATATATATATTTTTAATATATGTATTTAAAATGCATATTTGTTCTCCTACTCCATTATGAAGATCTGATGGACCAACTATCATATGACCCGTGCATGACATCACTGCGTAACGCTTAAGACAATGGAAACACAGGATTAATGTCTTAATGATTTCAGTATAGCTAAAGATAATCAGTAAATCAAATACCTTGAGCTAATTCATATATCAATATGTTTATTTCCGTCCCTATTCCTTTTCGTACCTAGCAGGGTTACCTCCCTTAAGTAAATGTACATGACCCATCTATTACTATTATTGACCTGTATGAGTGGTTTGAATAAAGTCCATTGCTCTACAGGACTCTTGTTATATCCATGTATTGCCGATCCATGTTTTTTTTTGGTGATTTCCGATTATGATATGATTCATTCAAATCTGGGGTAAATATTAGCGTCTATTGGACTTAATAAAGACTTTTATTGTTGCTACAAGCAGCTTTTTGTTGGCTGCCTGATATAGGAAGATGGGGTGAGGAGAGTAACAAGGAGAATAACAATGCAGAGAGAGGGGCTAAGTTAAAGCAAGAACGCGAACTTAAGAGGCTGGAAAGCTCAGTGAATTACAATGCGAGAAAAGAAAAAGGATGAAATAGCCGAAACATTTTGATATAAAAGAGTAAAAGAAGAAAAATAGTGAATTGGTCATATGCATTGATACGTTGTTTGTAGTTCTGTATATAGGATGTAGGTAGTTTTTTTTTCCGGGGACTTGATTGAACAGTCTTTTCTGTTCCTTTTTCCGTATTCGCTGTTCTTTGCCCTGTTACTACCATTATACATCAAATATTTGACATTTTGGAAATAGTAAATAACATATTTATTCATTTACAAACTTTGGCTATTATTCTCCCCTCGTTACCGTTATCACTTTGTATGCTGACTTTGCAATGTATGTGGAAGAGAGATATCTTAACTGCAAATGAAATGTAGCCCCTTAATCTCAACCTCTCTTCTACAGGTCCAGATTTGAGTAAGACCAATGGAACTTCGGTAACTGAGTTGACTCAAACTGGCGAAAAACAGAGCGCAAACGGTCTCCCAGCATCTCAAGCCAGGTGAAATCAGAAACATCAACTCCTTTACTTCCTATATTCCTCATGTTCCTGTAATGAAATTGACTCGGCATATTCTTACAAAAAAAAAAATCTTGCAAATTAACTCGTTTTTGATGTTCAGTTTTTCTGAAGAAGTGGCTGAGAAGAAAAAGCCTGTGAATGTTATGAATGCTGAAGGCAACTGTGAGCTTCCGAACGAAGCTTACATGGAAGTCCCTGTTGTAACTGAATCGGTTAGTTTGGGAGTGCAATACGAAGAATTATCACAAGATACAGCTCAGCATTCTCCGAAGGAAAAGATTGAAGTTGTGGCTGGAAAGCAACAAGGACGGAAATCGGGTAGATACAACCGTAGAGGCGGCAGAGGAAGAGGTAAATGATGAAAGATGATATATATATATATATATATATATATATATATATATATATATATATATATATATATATATATATATATATATATATATATATATATATATATATATAGGAAAAAAAAAAGAAAATTTCCACTGTGTCGGTTTAGGTGTTAGAGTTAATTTCGAGCTGTTGTGGTGTTTGTAGGCATCTGATTATATTATTAGCTAAGTTAATTTATGCGCAGCTTGTTTTTTTTTTTTTAGCAATGTCGGTCGTGCGAACAAGCGACTCTCGTAGTGTATCGAAATTTCAATGCTGATGTTGACCCTTGTTTAATTTCTCTGTAGGTTTGACTACAAATTCTGTAATTGTACTAGGACTACTTATTAGTGCAATTTCTTATGGTATTTTAAAAACCAAAATATGTTCCATTGCTCCACGGCATGTATATTATTCTTCGTCTCACTAGATTTCAGTTGTGAAGCTTCTATTAAATTGGACCGATTTGTTCGATGCTACACGGTCACTAAAATTCGTCGAGTATTACACGTGTAAATTGTAAGTGGCTTAAGGGAGAATAGAGGAATATAACTCTCCCACTTGTACACTATTTGAGTTCCATGAACATGGAAAAATACACAAAAAAATATGCTACCTAGTTTTCAGAAAGGCTATTCTTTTTTGAGTTTTATTCTGCATCATTTTCTTACGGTGGTCCTCGGTACAGTCGATAATTAGCGCCACTATGTTGCGTACGTGTTGTCAATCGCGTCGCCAATTATTTCATTAATTTCAAATTTTACACGTCTCTTAAAACCAGTGTTATGCACCAGCACCACCAATAATGGTAAATTTAATTTATAGTAACATGACATTTGGCTAAGTACTAAATAATTCAATAATAATTGGACTTATCTTTTGTGACATATTATATATATATATTTAAGAACGTAACTTTAATTAATCCATAATTATTCAAGTGCATCACTTCAAAGCTTGATGGTGAAGGGTCAGAAAAATGTTCATTAGAATGATAGTAAATTAGTCAAACCTTTAATTTTGTGCGTGATAATCAAGTGATTGTATGTTGACTGCACCACCAATAATTCATTTATTGCTTAGTTTGGGAATTTGCAGTGAGAAATTCATGCACGTAATATCCAACTATTTATATTCCAAATTCATTAATGAAGCTTTTAATCAATTTCTTGATTATTCCAAGCCCAAAAATTCAAAAAAGAAAAAGAAAAAAGCATCTATATAATCACATGCTTGTGAATTGTGATAGTGTAGTAATAGTAGATGGTAAGGTGCATGTGAAAATCATTAATAAAAGTTGCAATTAAAGTTATTTTTTTCCAAAAAAGAGTCAATCCCATGGCTCTTGCCAAGAGATCATGTCTCGAGGGGAAAAGAAACAAAAATTAATATTTTTCATTTTTTTATTATTTACTATTTAGGCTGCGCCTATATGCAAGACTAACAACACTTGTTCAAGACCAAATTAAAATTTTTTAATGTATAAATACTATAATACCCTTACTTGTTAAAAAAATAGAAAATTCCAAATGTGCAATACCAAAAACTCAAAAAAAAAAAAAAAAAAAACCCTATCACAAAACCACAAGACCAACTATCATCTTCTCCATCAAAACCTTTCTCCTTCCTCATCTATCAACCCACAAAACCTAAACATTCAAAATCATCAAAACTCAACAAATCTTACAAAGATGGTAAGTATGGAGTCAGAAGACATCAAAATAGAAGAATTTACGGTGGAAAAACCCAAGAAAATATGCATCTATGTGTTTTTTTAGCTAGAATATCGTTTTCTCAAAAAAAAAACCCGCGCAGACGCAGTCGACATGTACATGTCGAATTTTATAGGCAAAAATCGACATTGAGAGTTCGATTTTTTAGTACAAAATCGACACCTTAGTGTCGAAATTTAACGATTAGCAAAGTAGTCCAAATATACTAAATTTCGACATTAAAGTGTCGAATTTATGGACATATATTCGACACTTTAATGTCGAAATTTAGTTGTTTCATATTTTAAAAAAAAAATTCCACGCAGACACAGTCGACATGTACATGTCGAATTTTATAGGTAAAAATCGACATTGAGATGTCGATTTTGGAGTAAAAAAATCGACACCTTAGTGTCGAAATTTAACTGTTAGCAAATTAGTCCAAATATACTAAATTTCGACATTAAGGTGTCGAATTTATGGACATATATTCAACACCTTAATGTCGAAATTTAGTTGTTTCATATTTTTTTATTATTTGTTATTTGGTTTTGCATGAGCAAACAAAAGACAATTTAATTTATGGGTATATTTGTCATTTCATTTTAATAAAATGGAATCTTTTGGAATCTTTCTTTAATTTGGTCTTGCACAAGTGAAATTAGTATTGCATATAGCCGCAACCTACTATTTATTTAGTGAAAATTCTAAAATCAATCAAATAATTGGTGCATGAAAATATAATTTCACTGCTACAATAAACATAAAGTAACTCCGAAAACGATTTCAAAGTTTGAACGTGCAATTTTTTTAGTGGGACACTAAGATATATATATATAGTTTTGTGAATCTTATGCGAATAAAAAGGAGAACAATATTCTATATTACTATATAAATCAATCAAGAATTTAATTTCTTATCTTTGCCTAAAGTTGCAATTAGGTTGCAAATAAATAAAATTGCACAAAATAAAATAAAATTATATAATACTCCACTTTCCTTATATATAAATTAAAGACTCCTCCTTTGATCTTTCCCATCCCTATAATTTTTTGTGCCAATAAATAGGGGCATAAAAAAGTGATGGAAAAATATGATATGCCAATATAAGAAAATGATGGAGGCCATAATTGTTTCTTGCATGTGAAGTAGTGAATCTAATTCAAAAGTTTGAAAAAATAAATATTTTGAGCATTTGTTGCAATTTAGGCCATCCAATTTGTCTTCTTTACTTGCCAACCATTCTTTTTTTTTTTACTTTTGTCAAGAAAAATACTTATCCAAGCACATCTTATACTCAAATTTTTGATGCCTATCTTTGATTTGATAGGAGTATATTAGCAAGTGGTTTTTGGGAATATTGTTTGTGTTACACTACATTGGGGTATCTTAATCGCATTCACGCGCAATAGTCTTTTGAAAAATATGATCTGCGTATTTTGTTGGTTTATTTTATTTAACTAGAGACTTTAGGAGGAGATATATGATTTTAAAGAAATAAGTATTCCATTATAGATGACCACTTAATATAACTAATATTTCTATTTTTAGATTGTTTCTTAGTAATTCTCATCTTTGGAAAAAATAATTTGTCATACAATAAAAAATGGTTGACATTTTAGTCCTTTTGAAATGTCAAGCATTATGATGAACATAGGTCAAAAATGGCATTAGAGATGAGATAGGGAAGAGAAAAGAGTCAAATGAGGAGGAAAATAAGTTTAAGGGATAGAGTTTGCTAAAATTTAAAACTTCTTTATTTGAACAATTCTATAATCATTTAATATTATTTTTTACATTTTTTTATATCAATTAAGAAAATAAAACTATATTAGAGAAATTTAAAACTATTAAAGTAACATATGCTAGTTTAAGGGATAGAGATTGCATTATAAAGCAATTTTCACTAATAATGTTTTTTTTCTCCAATAAATCAAATTATTAAATACAAAATTACTACTCATAATCTCATATAATCACAATTAAGATTGTTCGTTCAAAAGCTTTTGTGAAAGCAGAAGTCAGTAATTGTAAGTGAAAACTGTGTATAAACTGCTTAATCTCGTGTATAGAAAACTGCCATGGCACGGAGAAAATATTTTTTTCATCACCTACCAAAAGAAAATAAAAAGAAAAATAATGAAATTAAAAGTAAAAAATATAAATGTAAAACTTTGCAAATAGTGCCAAATTAGATATCCTAGTAATAAATTTGAGATGATCCACAAGGGCATAAAGTGCAAATATTCTAGCCCAACATATACATACATTCACACCTTTCCACACACTAAATGTGTTTATTAACACACACACACACACACAATGACACGTCACAGCAACAGCCATCCCCACCCCCAACCTCCCCCAACCAACACCACAAAAGCCCTAAAAAGAAAATAAAGTAATTATAAAAAAAAACATTGGAAATTACCATTTTACCCTTTTCTTCCACGGATTTATATGTGACAAGAGTCCATTTCATTTTCTCTATTCTTCGATCCTTTTCTATTTAAATTAATATAAACATAACTAATTTAATTCCTCTTATTATATAAGAAATGGCATAATATATATATATATATATACATATTAGACCAGCTTTTCATCTTCTTCGATCAACCCATTTAACTTGAGTTAATTATTAGATACACACACATATAGTGTTACAGAGATGGGCAGCACAAAGGGTCTCACTCTTGAGGAGATTAAGAATGAAGCTGTTGATTTGGTTTGTTTCTCTCTCTACATCTCTCTCTCTCTCTCTCTCTCTCTCTCTCACACACACACACACACACACATATAATCTATGTATAATCTTTTACTTACTTTGTTGATGCATGGGATGGGTTTTGGTTTTTAATTTACTGGGTTTTTTTTTCCTTTGAATTTTCTTATATTTGAGAAAAAAGAAAACCTTTTTTTTATAGTATAATATTTTCTTGGATATATTGTTTTTATTTAAAAAAAAAGAAAGAAAGCACATGCATACATGCGGGTGTGTGTAATTAGATTGATTATATGTTAAGAAGCTGTAATCACGAAAAGATAATATATTAGCCTTAATCGTCAATACCATCTTTTATGACACGTGTCGTATTGTGCTTGAATCCGACGCAAAACGTTGATTTGCGGCGCGTGTCTATCACGTCGAATTTCACTTTTTTTTTCATCCAGCGAGATTTTTCCAACCAATGATTTTCGGCCGTACACCACCCACCACCGCCGCCAACATCCCCGTCATTATTCTCTGTTCCGCCGCCGTGGCTTCCACCACCTTCCGCCGCCTCCCTGTAGCCGCGCGCCCCCAAACCTCCAACCCTGTTGAAATCTTCTTCGGTATCCATCGTTTGAACAATCCAAAATTTTATGGATGTACTTCAAGTAACCACCATGCCGGCTCTTCCCTTTTCTCCGCCTCCGCTACGAGTGTGGTGGCGGCGGAGGTGGTGCCGCCGCTGCTCTGTGTTCCTGAATATTTCCCCCAAATTGCTTCTGCCGCCGATTTCGATTGTGAACGGAGAAGACGATGATTAGGGTTTAGGGTTTCCCAGAAATTCTTTTAAAATTTTCAATGCCATTTTTACACAGGAAAGAATCCCAGTCGAGGAAGTGTTCGAGCAGTTGAAATGCACGCGCGAAGGTCTAACATCCGAAGAAGGTCAGAACCGCCTGCAAATATTCGGTCCAAACAAATTGGAAGAGAAAAAGGTCCGAACAAAAAAAAAAAAAAATCATCTTAGTTTATTTATTTAATCTCGCACCAACATTATTTATATATTAATTAAAAAAAATGAAATGAAAATGATCAGGAGAGCAAGATTCTCAAGTTCTTGGGGTTCATGTGGAACCCCTTGTCATGGGTTATGGAAGCTGCTGCTTTAATGGCTATCGTCCTCGCTAACGGAGATAATCGCCCGCCTGATTGGCAAGATTTTGTCGGCATTGTCGCCTTATTGTTCATCAACTCCACGATTAGTTTTATCGAAGAAAACAATGCTGGTAATGCTGCTGCAGCTCTTATGGCTGGACTTGCTCCCAAAACTAAGGTACATTTGACCAAATTACCCTCCAAAATCGATCACAAGCTGACGAGATTTTTTTTTTCTATAAGTTAATTAGTGATTCGATCGTTTTACCTTTTAAGTATGAAAATGTAAATTGCGGTTGATATGAAAATGTGATTAGCAATTCCAAATAAGAATAATTAGTTGTGTGCACTGGCTCGAAAATGAAAATTAAAATGGGAAGGATGGATTATTTGGGTTGCTGAATTCGTCTTTTTTTTATTAGGTTTTGAGAGATGGCCGATGGAGTGAGCAAGATGCTTCGATCCTCGTCCCGGGTGACATCATCAGCATCAAGCTTGGTGACATCATCCCGGCCGACGCCCGCCTTCTAGAAGGCGACCCTTTGAAAGTTGACCAGTCAGCATTGACCGGAGAGTCTCTCCCTGTCACGAAAAGCCCTTCCGACGAGGTCTTCTCCGGGTCCACATGCAAGCAAGGCGAGATCGAAGCAGTTGTCATAGCAACCGGGGTCCACACTTTCTTCGGCAAGGCAGCCCATCTAGTGGACAGCACGAATCAGGTCGGACACTTCCAGAAGGTTCTGACGGCAATCGGAAACTTCTGCATATGCTCGATCTTCGTCGGGATAATCATCGAATTAATTGTGATGTACCCCATACAGCACCGTAAGTATAGGGACGGAATCGACAATCTGCTTGTTCTGTTGATCGGAGGGATTCCGATTGCGATGCCGACTGTTCTGTCTGTGACGATGGCGATCGGGTCCCACAGGCTGAGTCAGCAGGGGGCAATTACTAAGCGGATGACTGCTATTGAGGAAATGGCGGGAATGGATGTGCTGTGCAGTGATAAAACGGGGACTTTGACTTTGAATAAGTTGACCGTTGACCGGAGCCTTGTCGAAGTATTTGTGAAGGGATTGGATAAAGAGCAAGTGATTTTGCTTGCAGCTAGGGCTTCGAGAACCGAAAATCAGGATGCTATTGATGCCGCCATTGTCGGGATGCTTGCCGATCCAAAGGAGGTATGTCACAAATTTTTTTTTAAATAATTTTTTTAAAATGTAATCGACTAAAATCGAACGTGTGTTTCGTTAGGCGAGAGCTGGTGCGAGGGAGGTGCATTTTCTACCTTTCAATCCTGTCGATAAAAGGACAGCGTTGACTTACATAGATGCCAATGGTAATTGGCATCGTGCTAGCAAAGGTGCACCCGAGCAGGTATATATAAACAGTTTTTTATATATATATTTTTCAAAGGAGATTTTTTTTTTAAATTTTTTTTAAAGTTTTATTTCCACTGTTGAATTATTTGTATGTGAATAGATACTGGCACTTTGCAATAGTAAGGAAGATGTGAGAAAGAGGGTTCACTCGGTTATCGATAAGTTTGCTGAACGTGGACTCCGTTCTTTAGGGGTTGCTCGACAGGTTTCGTATATTTAATTATTTCTTCAAATCCTTCATTTTCATTTTTATGTTTTTTTTGCATTAATGTTATATGCAGGAAGTTCCGGAAAGAACAAAAGAGAGCCTTGGTGGACCATGGCAACTCGTTGGTTTATTACCTTTGTTCGATCCACCTAGGCATGATAGTGCAGAAACAATTAGACGAGCGTTGAATCTTGGTGTGAATGTGAAGATGATCACTGGTAATATAGAATCTTCGTTTTGTTTTTTTTCTATGTAAACAATCACTAAATTATCAAGTTTCTTTATTTTTGTTTTCATTAAAAAAAATTCGTTTTCGTACATTGTTTAGGTGACCAGCTAGCAATAGCCAAGGAAACGGGACGAAGGCTCGGAATGGGAACGAATATGTACCCGTCTTCATCTTTGCTCGGCCAACACAAAGATGAAGCTATTGCGTCACTTCCTGTCGATGAGCTAATTGAGAAAGCCGACGGTTTTGCCGGAGTATTTCCTGGTTAGTTGTCTCGCTATTTTACGTTTCATTGTGATCGTATCTTTGTGAGATATATAGTGCTACAAATAGTAGTATTCCGCATAACAGGGGGCCATGGCCCCCATACCATTTCTCCAAATAAACATTAATTTTTTTTAATGATCCTTGTATTTCTTTTAATTAAATTTTACGTTTTCTCGTGATCCTTGTATTTTATTAATTAATTTTTTTTAAAAATGGGAAAATGTAGAGCACAAGTATGAAATAGTGAAGAGATTGCAAGAAAGAAAGCACATTTGTGGAATGACGGGGGACGGTGTGAACGATGCTCCAGCACTAAAGAAGGCCGATATCGGAATCGCTGTTGCCGATGCAACCGATGCTGCTAGGGGCGCTTCCGACATTGTCTTAACGGAACCTGGTCTGAGTGTCATAATAAGTGCTGTCCTTACGAGCCGAGCTATTTTCCAACGAATGAAAAATTACACCGTGAGTAATAATAATAATAATACTAATAATAAAGCTTTTTTTTTTAGCCTCTTTGAAATTGTTTAATTCACTAATCTTTTACCAAACTGCCCTTTTTCCAGATATACGCTGTCTCGATTACAATCCGTATAGTGGTGAGTGATGCATAAACACTTATTAAATAAAATTCAAATTTCTACCTTATTTTATAATCAAAAAAACAAAATTGACGAAAAAGAGTCTTATTGTATATAACAACTGCAGTTTGGATTCATGCTTATTGCTTTGATATGGAAATTCGACTTTGCTCCGTTCATGGTTCTAATCATCGCCATCCTAAACGACGGTGAGATATCATTATTATTATTTATTAAAAAGAATTAGTTAAGCTTCACATTTGTCGTTAGTTAATTAAATATTGGAAATACATGATTAGGGACCATCATGACAATCTCGAAGGATCGAGTGAAGCCGTCTCCATTACCGGACAGCTGGAAACTAAACGAGATTTTCGCCACCGGAGTTGTCTTAGGAGGGTACCTTGCACTCGGGACTGTATTATTCTTTTGGGTCATGAAAGATACCGACTTTTTCTCTGTACGCCGAAACTATCCTGTTTTTTTTTTTTTATTCCGAATATTTTTAATCATCTTTTTTCTTGTTATGAAGTCCTCTATATTTATTTTTTTGTCTCTTTCGATTATTATATCATAGGAAAAATTTGGTGTAAGGTCCCTAAGAGATAGTCCCGAGGAAATAATGGCAGCATTATACTTGCAAGTGAGTATTGTGAGTCAAGCACTTATTTTCGTGACGAGGTCCCGTAGCTGGTCCTTTGCCGAACGTCCCGGAATGTTCTTATTGGGCGCTTTCTTGATTGCTCAGCTGGTAAATAATTTTATTTTTTACTTTTTTGCAAATGCCACCTTTTTTGGAATTTTCTTTTATCGATAAAACAATATTTTTTTTTTTTTTTTAAATTTAAATTAGGTTGCGACTCTAATAGCTGTTTATGCTGATTGGAGCTTTGCGAAGATAAAAGGATGTGGTTGGGGTTGGGCCGGTGTTATTTGGCTTTACAGTATCGTAACTTACTTTCCTCTCGACATTCTCAAGTTCTGCATTCGCTACGTTTTGAGTGGAAAAGCTTGGGATAATCTTTTGGAGAACCGGGTATATACATACATATACATACATATATATAATTATATATACACACATTTTTTAAACAATCTTGAAATTGCTTCATTCAGATTTTTACTTGTGATAATCTTTGTTTTAATTAGACTGCATTTACTACCAAATCCAACTATGGGAAGGAAGAGAGAGAAGCCCAGTGGGCGGCTTCGCAGCGGACTTTGCACGGTCTTCAGCCACCGGAAACCGCCAACCTCTTTGCCGAGAAAAGCAGCTACAGAGAGCTCTCCGAGATTGCCGAACAAGCCAAACGCCGCGCTGAGGTGGCAAGGTATTTGAATCGTCTGTTCTGTTATGTTATGTTTATGATTAATCACACGGATTAAATAACATGAAAACTAGGGATCGTAAAGTGATATACGTGAAATTTTTAATATTTTCTTACAAGAAAAAAAAAAACCGATTTATCGATATTGTGTCTCGTTGAATGCAGGCTTAGAGAGCTGCATACGCTGAAGGGGCACGTGGAATCGGTGGTGAAGCTGAAAGGATTGGATATCGACACGATTCAACAGCATTATACTGTCTGATGAATCAATGCCGATTTCTTTTAAGGAAATGAAAGCTGGTTCAATTAGTTTCGTGCAATAAGTTTTTATTTAGTACTAGTTTATGTAAACCAAATAGTAATTGGTCCCATTTTCTGTTGCTTAATATTTGAACTTCGAAGTTATATAGTGGACGAAAATGGTTCTGGTATTTCGATCGTCGAACAAAATCGCAAAAAATCGTGCACTATATCACACGCTTTGTGCTGAAAAAGAAAAGGTTATCTAGAAATTATTTCAGTAATTTTTAAACTGTGAAGCAAAATTACGAAAAATTGTGAACTTATAGCATAGATTTTTTTATAAAAAAATCATTGAAATGACAATAATAATTTTAAATATTTTTAATACTCAATTAAATATTGAGGTCCAATCCAGATCCGAAAATACACCCACGATACGAAAACAGACTAAAAAAAGTACATTAGTGTGTGTAATTTTTTTTAGGGTAAGTTACACCCACACCCCTTAGGTATGTTTAAATAACTTTAAAGTCCCTGTGGTATCGATAATTATACTCACCCCCTTGAAACGTAGTTATAAACTCTAATGGGATAATGCATTGGATACGTTATTACGATAGAGTTTTAACGCTCTATTGGTTTTAGGAAGTGGTGGAGACAACAAAGAGTTATGGGTGATTTAAGACATATTTGGGGAGCCATGTCACCACATAACTCTCCATAATTCTATGTTATCTCCACCACTAGCTAAAAGTAATAGATCATTAGAACCCTATCGGAATAATGTATCCAATGCATTATCCCGTAAGAGTTTATCACTACGTTTCAGGGGGGTGAGTGTAATTATCAATACCATAGGGACCTTAAAATTATTTAAGTATACCTCAGGGGTGTGGGTGTAATTTACCGTTTTCTTTAATGTGTGTTTTCGGTGTAGCGTGTGTATTTTTTTAGTGTGTTTTCAGTGTAGTATGTGTATACTTTTAGTGTGTTTTCGGTGTAGTGTGTAATTGTTTTTAGTGTGTGTTTTCAGTGTAGTGTGTGTGTATTTTTTTAGTGTGTGTTTTCGGTGTATTATGTGTATATTTTTTAAGTATGTGTTTTCAGTGTCGTGTGTATTTTTTTTATTATGTATTTTCGGTGTAGTGTGTGTATATTTTTTAATGTGTGTAATTTTTTTAGTGTGTGTTTTCTGTGTAGTGTGGGTATTTTTTTAGTGTTTGTTTTCGGTGTAGTGTGTGTAATTATTTTTAGTGTGTGTTGTCGGTGTAGTGTGTGTATATTTTTTTAGTATGTCTTTTCGGTGTAGTGTGTGTATTTTTTTAGTGTGTGTTTTCGGTGTAGGGTGTGTATATTTTTAGTGTGTGTTTTCGGTGTAGTGTGTAGTTCTTTTTAGTGTATGTTTTCGGTGTAGTGTGTGTATTTTCGGAGTAGTGTCTGTGATTTTTTCTAGTGTCTGTTTTCGGTGGAGTGTGTGTATATTTTAGTGTGTATGTTTGGAGTAGTGCGTGTATATTTTTTAGTGTGTGTTTTCGGAGTAGTGTGTGTAATTGTTTTTAGTGGGTGTTTTTTGTGTAGTGTGTGTAATTCTTTTTAGTGTGTGTTTTCTCGTTGTAGTGCGTGTATTGTTTTTAGTGTGTATTTTCGGTGTAGTGTGTGTAAAAAGTCTTTCACGATCAAAATCACCAAAAACAGTATACTAAAAGTACACAGATTTTAGTTAAAATTGGAGTTACGTCCAAAAAACTATTTCATGACCAAAATTACAAAAAAACTGTATAGCACACAAATTTTTGATAAAATTGGAATCAGTTTTTTGTGATTTTGATCGTGATAAAGTTTTTTGGACGTTCCATAAATTTTATCCAAAATATGTTTACTATAAGCGTATAGTTTTTTGTGATTTTAATCGTGAAATTTTTTTTGGACGTTCCACCAATTTTTCCCGATATATGTGTACTATAGTATACAGTTTTTGGTGATTTTGATCGTGAAATTTTTTTTGGACGATCCACCAATTTTATCAAAAATTTGTGTAGTATAGCATAGAGTTTTTGGTGATTTGAATCGTAAAAAAGTGTTAGGGACGCTCCACCAGTCTTAACCAAAATTAGTGTCATATATATAGTATGCAGTTTTTGGTGAATTTGATCGTGAAATAGTTTTTTGGACGTTTCAGAAATTTTACCCAAAATCTGTGCACTATTGTATACAGTTTTTTGTGATTTTAATCGTGAAAAAGCTTTTTGGAAGTTCAACAAATTTTACCCAAAATCTATGCACTATATAGCGTACAATTTTAGATGATTTTGATCGTGAAAAAGGTTTTTGGACGTTCCACAAATTTTATCCAAAACTTGTGTACTATAGCATACCATTTTTTGTGATTTTAATCGTGAAATCGTTTTATAGACGTTCCACCAATTTTACCAAAAATTTGTATACTATAGTACACACTTTTTGGTGATTTTGATCGTCAAAAAAGTTTTTTGAACGTTCCACCAATTTTATCCAAAATCTGTGTACTATAGCATACAATTTTTGGTGATTTTGATCGTGAAATAGTTTTTTAGACGTTCAACCAATTTTACCCAAATTCTGTATACTATATATAGTATACAGTTTTAGGTGATTTAGACTGTGTAAAAGTTTTTGGGACGTTCCACTAATTTTACCCAAAATCTTAGGTGATTTAGACCGTGTAAAAGTTTTTGGGATGTTCCACTAGTTTTACCCAAAATCTATGTACTATAATAGTATACAGTTTTTTTTGTGATTTTGATCGTGAAAAAGTTTTTTGCGACGATTTACCAATTTTATCAAAAAATTGTGTACTATATATCATACATTTTTTGGCGATTTTGATTGCCAAATAGTTTTTTAACGTTATGCCAATTTTACCCAAAATATGTGTACTTCTAGTACACCATTTTTGATGAGTTTGATCGTGAAATAGTTTTTTGCACGTTCCACCAATTCATCTAAAATTTGTGTACTATAGTATACAGTTTTTTGTGATTTTGATCGTGAAATAATTTTTTGGACGTAGCACCAATTTTAACTAAAATATGTGTACTATATAGTATACTATTTCTGGTGATTTTGATCGTGAAATAGTTTTTTGGACGTTCCTCTAATTTTATCCAAAATCTGGGTACAAATAGTGTACAGTTTTAAGTGATTTTGATCGTGAAATAATTTTTTGGACGTTCCACTAATTTTACCCAAAATCTGTGTACTATAGTTTACATTTTTTTGTGATTTTGATCGTGAAATAGTTTTTTGGACGTTCTACCAATTTTTCCCAAAATATGTGTATTATATATCATACAGTTTTTTGTGATTTTGATTGTGAAATAGTTTTTACACACGTTACAGCGAAAACACTCACTAATAGAAATACACACTCTACACTGCAAACACACACTATACCGAAAACACACACTATAAACAATTACACACACTACACTGAAAACACACACTACATCGAAAACACACATTAAAAAATATACACACACACTATAATGCACAAGTTTTTGGTAAAATTGGTGGATCGTCCCAAAAAGTTTTTCACGATCAAAATCACAAAAAACTGTATACTATAGTTTATAGGTTTTGAGTAAAATTTGTGAAACGTACAAAAAACTATTTCACGATCAAAATCACCAAAAAATGAATACAATAATAGAACATAGATTTTAGATAAAATTGGTGCAACATCCAAAAAACAATTTCTCGATTAAAATCACCAAAAACTGTATACTATGTACACATATTTTGGATAAAATTGGTGGAACGTACAAAAAATTATTTCACGATCAAAATCACAAAACATGTACACTATAAGTACAAAGATTTTGGGTAAAATTGGTGGAGCGTCAAAAAAAATTCACGATCAAAATCACAAAAAACTGTATAATAGTACACAAATTTTAGTTAAAATTGGTGCAACGTCCAAAAAACTATTCAACGATCAAAATCACCAATAACAATAAGCTATAATACACACATTTTTAATAAAATTGGTGGATCGTACCAAAAAACCTTTTCACGATCAAAATCTCTAAAAACTGTATAATATAGTATAGAAATTTTGGGTAAAATTGGTAGAATGTCCCAAAAACTTTTTCATGATCAAAATAACCAAAAACTGTATACTCTAGTTCACAGATTTTGCGTAAAAATGGTGGAACGTCCAAAAACTATTTCACAATCAAAATCCCCAAAAACTGTATGCTATAGTACACATATTTAAGATAAAATTTGTGGAACGTTCCTAAAACTTTTTCACCAAAAACTGTATACTGTACACAGGTTTTGGGTAAAATTGGTAGAACGAACAAAAAAAAAATTTACGATCAGAATCACCAAAAACTGTATACTTTAGTACACATATTTTAGTTAAAATTGGTTCAACGTCAAAAAACTATTTCACGATGAAAATCACCAAAACATGTATACTATAATACACAGATTTTGGATTAAATTGGTAGAACGTCCAAATAAATATTTCACGAACAAAATTAGTACACAAATTTTGCGTAAAATTGGTGGAACGTCCAAAAGACTTTTCCACGATCAAAATCACAGAAAATTGTACAAAGATTTTTTCACAATCAAAATCACCAAAACTGTATACTATAGTACACAGATTTTGGGTAAAATTGATGAAACGTCCAAAAAAACTATTTCACGATAAAAATCACCAAAATTTGTATACTATAGCACATGGATTTTGGGTAAAATTGGTGGAATGTCCCAAAAACTTTTTCACGATCAAAATCACCAAGAAATGTATATTATAGTACAAAGATTTTTGATAAAATTGGTGGATCGTCCAAAAAGTTTTTTCCCGATCAAAATCACCAAAAATTCTATATTATAGTACAGAGATTTTGGGTAAAATTAGTGGAACGTCCTAAATACTTTTTCACGATCAAAAATCACGAAAAACTGTACGTTACAGTACACATATTTTGGGTAAAATTGGTAAATGTCCAAAAAACTATTTCACGATCAAAATCACCACAAAATGGACACCCTGAAACACATATTTTAGGTAAAACTGGTGGAACGTCCTCAAAAAAATTTATGATCACAATCACCAAAAATTGTACGCTATAGTACACAAATTTTGGGTAAAATTGGTGGAACGTCCAAAAAACTATTTCACAATAGAAATCACAAAAAACTGTATATTATAGTATACAGATTTTGGGTAAAATTGATGGACCGTCTAAAAAAAAATCACGATCTAAATCACCAAAAATTGTATACTATATAGCACACAAATTTTAGGTTAAATTGGCGGAACGTCCTAAAAACAATTTCATGATCACAATCACCTAAAACTGTATACAAATACGCAGATTTTGGGTAAAATTGTTGGAACGTCCCAAAACTATTTCACGATCAAAATCACCAAAAACTGTATAAATAGTACATAGATTTTGGGTAAAATTGGTGTAAGGTCCAAAAAAAATTTTCACAATCAAAATCACAAAAAATTTGTGTAAGGTCCCAATAACTTTCTCGCGATCAAAATCACAAAAAACTGTATGCTATACAGTACACAAATTTTAGTTAAAACTGGTGGAACGTCCCAAAAGCTTTTTCACAATCAAAATCACCTAATATAATACACAGATTTTGAGTAAAATCAACGGAACGTCCAAAAAACTCTTTCACAATCAAAATCTTAAAAAACTGTATACTATATATAGTACACTGATTTTGGGTTAAATTGGTGGAACGTCCAATAAAAAAATTTACGATCAAAATCACAAAAAACCGTATGCTATAGTACACACATTTTAGTTAAAATTGATAGAACGTCCCAAAAACTTTTTCTTGATCAAAATCACAAAAAACTGTTTAATATATAGTGCACAATTTTTGAGTAAAATTGGTGAAACGTCCAAATAACTATTTCACTATCAATCACTGAAAAAAATGTATACAATAGGTACACATATTTTAGTTAAAATAGGTACAATGTCTAAAAAACTATTTGTCGATCAAAATCACCAAAATTTATATACTATAGTACACATATTTTGGGTTAAGTTGGTGAAACGTCCCAAAAACTGTTCCATGTCAAAATCACCTTAAACTATATGCTTCCAATTAAAATTTTCGGGTCAGCAGAAGATTCAATTCAATTCCAATCCAAATCCAATTAAATATTATGACCAATTGACATGTAATTAAATATTTGCGGCCCAGTCCAGATTCAGTGAAATATTTCGGGCCAGCAGAAATTCCAATTCAGGCCCAATAAAGCAGAATAGCGAAATTAATTAAAAGGCCCAAACCGGGTCCAATTTAAAATTTTGGGCCAGCAGAATATCCAATTCAGGCCCAATCAGGATCCATTTAAATATTTCGGGCCAGCAGTAGATCCAATTCAAGCAACTAAACAGTTTCTACACACGTGGCACTATCCAAGCCATGTATTAGAAACCACGGTGGGTCCCACCTGCAGATTTTTTAACATCAGTAATGCGGAACAATGGAGGACCAGTAGATTATCGCCATTGTTGCTGAACAAAAAATGGCTACCGTCGCCACGTCATCGTCATCTTCCTCTTCTGCCAATATCGCTTTTGCTAAATACCCTCCACCATTTTCTCCGACAAGGAATTTTCCGCAGACACTTCGGATTCCAATCCGCCATCGCCGGCGACCCACCTCCGCCGCCGGCCGTGTCTATGCTTCGGCGTCGGCGGTGACTCCGGCGCCAACTCCGGCGGCAACTAAGCCGGAAGATTTGGTGGAGAAGATTCTGTCAAAGGTAGTGCAAACAGATAGAGGAGTTTTGCTAACAAAAGAAGAGCATCAGAAAGTTGCTGACGTGGCAGATGAACTGCAGAGTTTCTGCGTAGATGAACCTGTCAAATGCCCCCTTATATTCGGAGGTGATGATTATTTAATTTTTTATTTCAAGATTGCATTTTTATCTTACTGTAGTGCTGCTAATCTAATTTTTTATTTTATTTTTCTTGAAATAATTGCATATGTAGAGTGGGATGTGTTGTATTGTTCGAACCCGACATCGCCCGGTGGCGGTTACCGGAGCGCAGTTGGTCGGATCTTTTTCAAAACAAAGGAAATGATGCAGGCGGTTGAAGCACCCGATATTGTTAGGAATCGAGTTTCTTTCTCTCTCTTCGGATTCGTTGATGGAGAGGTTTCTTTGAAGGGTAATGATTCGAACAGATTAGCGTTAAGACATCTACTAATGCAATGGTGTTAATGATGTTATCTAATTAGTAGTACAATGCATGCAGGAAAACTTACTGCACTAGATGAGAAGTGGATACAAGTAGTGTTCGAAGCGCCTGAACTTAAGGTCGGAGGATTCGAGTTCAGTTACGGAGGAGAGAGTGAAGTGAAGCTACAAATTACGTACATAGACGAAAAGATTCGACTCGGGAAAGGTTCTAGAGGCTCTCTCTTTGTCTTTCAAAGAACATGATACAATACACCACCGTTTTTTTCTCTCGGGATTTTGAATGTTTATCATATGTAATGACAATGTACGATTATACCTGAACAACGTTTTTTTTTCGAATGAAGTGATATTAGCCGGGTCCGACTTTGGGAATGTCGTAGTGCTCTGTGAGATTAGCTAAATAGTTGTTGAATTCTTGAATTCGGTCACGGTGCGATTTCTTGGCGGTTTTAGCAAGTCTTTGAAGCTCGATTCTCTGACATTGCTCCATGTACCTTCTCTCTGCTGGAGTGAGGCGCTCGTTTTCCTCGCCAAATTCCCCTTCATTTGCTTGATTACTTACTAATTCGTTATTTCCATCTGCAATACACATCGAGAAAAACATTAGCGGATGCAAAATTATCTCAACTTCTTAAGCCAATTTTAATTAGATAAGATGATTTAAAAGATGTCACTTTTTTTAAAATGTGAATCAAACCTGTCAATTGATCGTGTAACGGGAAATATCGGTTTTTGTTCTTTTTCTTCTTTTTGATAGCAGCATCTCTCACATCTAAAGCTCTGCCCTTCAATCTCAGTTTCCCAGCAACAACGTTTTCGTAAGCCGACATCTCTCCCTTTTTTCTGCAATTTTTTTTTCGGAATTTTCAGGTCAACATTACGAAAAATAGAAGACAAAACTCACAACTTACTGCAAACTAATTAGGGAGTCAAGTAAGAAGTCATACAGAAACAATAACATTATTAAGGTAACAATTATCTACTGAATTAAAAAACCCGATTCTTGATTTCTTTCTACCTTTCAATCTGCCATACTAAAAGCCGGAACTTTCTGAATTCCAGCATGTGCCATTTCTTTCCTCATCGAAGCGGCACTATCCCATATTTCCGCACCAGCATAAATACTGGACAGAAGCACATATCTTCCACAATGATCAGGTTGCAAATCGAGCAACTTTTTACCTACCTCGTTTCCCAAATCGATATCACCATGAACTCTACAAGCACCCAAAAGAGCACCCAAAACAGAGGCGTCAGCCTCAAAAGGCATGCTCTTCACAAATTCATACGCCTCTTTCAAAAGGCCAGCTCTACCTAATAGATCAACAATACATCCATAGTGTTCCATCATAGGTTTAATAGCAAAATCACGTGACATCGATCGGAACAGATCGAGTCCCAAGTCAACACGTTTTGTTCGAGCACAAGCTGACAATACACCTACAAAGGTAACTTCGTTCGGGCGTAATGTCATAGTCTTGAACATTTCTAAGGCCTCACTCTCCCTACCGTTTGAAGCCAGTGCACATATCATAGCATTCCAAGTGCACACCTTTCTCAGAGACATAGTGTCGAACATTTTGTAGGCGTAACTCAAACATCCTGTTTTTCCATAGAATGCTATTAATGCAGTTCCAATGAAAACACTCAAGTCCTTCTCACTTCTAAGCATGTATCCGTGAATTTGCTTCCCTTGATACAGTGCTAGACCTTCATCCAAATTCGCACACGAAGAGAGGACACTGACAAAAGTAGCCTCATTCGGCCTTAAGAACCCATGAATTACGTCATCATCCACCATCATCTCATTGAAGATACTAATCGCCTCTCTAAAGCACTTATTCCGTGCATAACCATTGATAATACTCGTCCACGAATACACATCTCTCGTGGGCATTTTCAAGAACATCGAAACGGCCAAACCCATATCGCCACTTTTGCCGAAAGCATCAAGCATCGCATTGTACGAAACTATACAAGGTTGAGGAATTTCATCAAACATCTTAAGTGCACTCTTTATATCGCCGAATTGTGAGTAAAGAGAAAGAAACGACGTCCGCACAAAGGGGTCATTCAGTAGGCCTCGTTTGACACACTGCGCATTAAAGGAGTAACCCACAGGTGATGTGATATACGATCGTGAAAGAGATACAGTGGCTTTAAGAACAGAAGGGAAAGTGTGGCTATTAGGAGGAGCTTCATCATGAAGCATGCGAACGAAGAGGACAAGGCTAGTGTGGGGCCTACAAAGATTGAGGTATGTTCTAATGAGTGTGTTGTAGAGAAGAGTATTAATCCATAGATCGGTAATAAGGAGATGCCCATTTGTAATCAACAACGAATGGACTTGTTTAACTCGGTCTGAATAATTACTGAAGCGTTGAAGAAGTTGGAGTAGATATTCAGGCGAATTTAGTTTCGATTTCGACATTCCAACTTAATCTAAAACTGGAGTGGCTTCACATTTCCTAACGCCCGAAAAACGAAGAGTCCATAATCGAAAGGTTGCCTAATTTCATCTTAGCTAACCCTAAACTAAGTACTGTTTAATTCTACACTTATTTATTTTTTCTTTCTTGTTTCGTGCTTGACTCTTGAAGATGCACATGCATGCATTGCATCTCTCTTTCTCAGCACAAGCACTTTTTACCCATTTCTTTCACAAAACCCCTATCTCCAATCTGTAAACACACAAAAATTCATTATCTGCTTATATATGTAACTGTAGAAATAGATAGGCATAATCGTAAATTTGCACATTCCATGAATCTGCAGTTGTGCTAAGTTTGTAAGAATCGATCTTTTCGCATCTTTTCACTCCAAATTTACAAAACAAAATCGCAAACAACGGAAGAGCGTCTAAAATTCTGAAGCAATTAAAGTTTATAAAAAACGCACAGAGCAATTGAGAAATGAATAATGGCAAAACAATGAGGAGAGAATTGATTGATACCTGGGTTGGCGATTACGATGAAACCAAGAACAATTGATTTCAACTAAGGCGAGGCTTCCATATAAAAGGGCTGAAAATAATCGAGGCGTTTCTCGAAGTTTCTTTGTCCCCAATCGAATAAATTTAAATGAATAATTCGGCGCGTTGTCGATAATCGCGAATTTTGGTTTTTGCTTTTTTTTCCCCAAACAACGATTTTACAGTTTAAGCAGAACGATTTTAGTTAAAAGAAGAGAAATGAAAAACGGATTTCCTTTTTTTTTTTTAAATATTTTCAAATTTAATATTTAGGGTAAATTCCACTTTACCCCCTTGTACTTTGGCTGGATATCACTTTACCCCCTTGTACTCTCAATTGCATCGATTTGCCCCCTTGTACTTTGGTTCGATATCACTTTACCCCCTTCTACTCTCAATTCATCGATTTTCCCCCTAGTACTTTGGCTCGATATCTCACTTTACCTCATTCTACTCTCAATTGCATCGATTTGCCCCCATGTACTTGAAAAATTATCTCAATGTGGCCCTCGCAGTTAATTTTCGGACCTTTGACCTAACACCGTTTGATTTAAGTTTGAAAATTACTAAAATGTAACCCCTCCAGTTTAAATAATTATTAAAAAAAATTTTAAAAAATAAAAAATAAAAAACAACAAAAAAATAAAATAATAAAAAATTCAAGACAATGAGAAAACATAGTCCACGACGCCAGCCACAATTTTTTTATTATTATTAATAATTAATTGAACTGGAGGGGTGTTTTTTTTGTAATTTTCATACTTACATCAAACGGTGTTAAGGTCAAAGATCCGAAAACTAACGGCGAGGGCCACATTGAGATAATTTTTCAAATACAGGTGGGCAAATCGATGCAATTGAGAGTAGAAGGGGGTAAAGTGAGATATCGAGCCAAAGTACAAGGGGGAAAATCGATGAATTGAGAGTAGATGGGAGTAAAGTGATATCGAACCAATGTACAAAGGGACAAATCGATGCAATTGAGAGTATAAGGGGTAAAGTGATATCCAGCCAAAGTAAAGGGGGTAAAGTGGTATTTACCCTAATATTTATTAGTAAAAACATTTTATTTTGTATAAGCAGATAACATTTTCCCTCTAAACGGCCGGCGAATTACGAACATCTCCGGCGAGTGAAGCATCTCCGGCGATTAAGCGATCCAAATTCAGGTAATCCCATAACCACCGGCGAATCTTCACTGTTAAGCTTATGGGCTATGATGGGAGGAGTTACCATCTGCGCCGGTAGCAAACCCCACTACACTCCGCCTCCAGGTTAAATATCTTCCCTCAATTTTCCCCCAATTTTTTTTTTAATATTTAATCCACTTGCAATCTCAATCTTCCTCCGCCAGGTAACCAATGCAAGTACGCCGGCCAATCAGTGGTAAATTTCTTGCATTTTACTCTCCAAAAGTTTCAAAAGCAATGTCGTATATTGAATTTATACATGTAATTGTATCGGGAGATTTTGTTCTTGTACTACACTTGTTTGAGTTAGGTTATAATTTGCAGAGAGCGCTGCCGATTCGAATTCTATCGGTGGGGAAGAAGAGATCGACTGGGGTTCAGCTCATAGTTGACGAATATATTGAGAAGCTCAAGCACTATTGCCCCGTCGAAGATGTTCGATTAAAATCCAACCCAAAAAATGCTCGGTGTGTTCGATTGTTTATGTCTTATGTGTTTGTAAGAGTATATCAAATTGCATGATGGCACGTATAAAGAGAGGATGTTGCACCGAACATAGGATTTAAGTATTACATCCGCGTTTGTTTAGTGATCAATGAAATACGTCGAAGACAATAAAAGACCGATTCTTGTTTTGTCTTGCCTTTGGGTGGATTTATACGAGTCTTCTTAACTTTTTGCGTCGTGCATTAGTGTATTATAAGATTGGATTTTGTATGTTGTACTTGATCCTACTCCAATCGGCATAAATACAAACACCTCAGTTCTTGCATTTTCTCTGTATAAGAATCATTCTGAGTGTATAATTGCCGTAAAATTAATCGTATAGCTTCCTTCCACTCAACAGAAAAAAACGATGTTTATGTGTTTTCTCTCTGTGGAAACTTCTGCCCAGAGACTTGGCTCGTTTAACATATGCATAGGAATACTTATATGATTCAGACAATTAGCTAAATTATTTTCGCACATTTATGTTTTTTTAATATATAGATCTCAGTTTGTTGCTCATACGTGTATTCTTGTCTTGTTATGTCACAGTGACGTAACAGCTCAGATAGAACACGAAGATATATCTGTGATGGGAGTTATCAAATCCAATGAATGGGTAAACCTCACTAGTTTCCTATTCCGACAATCACTTTGATAATATTTTTTTCTTTTTTTCGTTTTAGATGCTAATTTAAATCATATTAAAATAAGATAAGTTGCGAACTTGAGTTTTCTTATTGGATTGCCATTGTTCTTGTCGCAACATATGAATATCGATTCTCGTTTGAATTTTTACGGACCATTGTCGATTTTCCAGTATTGTGACGTGAAGTGCAAATATTACAGGTTGTGTTGTTGGATGAGCATGGACTCAGTTTAGGGTCTGAACAAATGGCTTCTCTAATCGGAGATGCGGGAAATACAGTACGACCCCACCTTCTCAATCAGCGTCCTTTTGCATTGCACATGAATTTTCTTGACCATTTTTTACGAGATATTATTATAAAGAGAGATTGAAAAGTTCTTTCTATTGGGGATGCCTCGGTTGTTTGTTTGTTTGTTTGTAATAGGGAGCTTCAAGCATGGTGTTCTGCATAGGTGGACCGTACGGTCATGGGAGACAGTTGAGGGAGAGAGCTGACGTGTCGATCCGTTTGTCGTCTTTGGTCTTAAACCATGAAGTTGCACTGGTTGTGCTGGCTGAGCAACTCTACAGGTCCAAAAATCTTAATTTGTCTTGAGATTAACGATTCCGATTCCGGGATCTTTTTTTTTTTCTTTTTAATACTTGTGATGTTTACAGGGCATGGACTATTCTCAAAGGCCAAAAATATCATCATTAGGATAACCTCTCTTTCGAATATTCCTGATTGATCAACAACAACATGCTTTTGAATATATATACATGTATGAATGTATATCTGATTTTTATTTTACAAGAATTAAAAGCATTTCTTCATTTTCTTAGATTTTTGTGGATCTGCCTTGTCACCCGGCCATGATAATCACTAGTAAGATAGTGATGCACAGTGCCACACACATTAAAACCTTATCGCCTCTTAGATATTTTTATTATTATTATTATTATTTATTTATTTTTGGTAATTTACAGTCACCCATGAGGTAAGGTCTAAATTACGAAAACGCTGCTCTTGTTTGGATAATTACAATCATCCGCCAACTATGAATCTTCTTACATGTCCATATTTATTGTGTCAAATTCATTCATTTTGTGCAAAAATACATTTTTTTTATGCATCACAATCTGATATTTACAAGCCAAGACAAACATCTTATAATCTTCCAACATTTCGTGGAATGTATGTAGCATTTCTTTTATTTTTTGGTATTTGCAGATGGTATGGTTTATGTGACTTCTCTCACTTACACCCTTTTTTGGTCCACACTTTTTGTCTTTTGGACCACATAAATGTTGGTTGGAGCTACAACAAACAAAATTCATGCACATTTAAAATGTGGGCACCATTTTCCAGTGTTGTATTTTATCAACAAGCATGATGCCACGTGGCTTGACAGATTAACAATAAAAACATTTCAAATTTCATTCAATCCCAATATCAACTAAATACAAAAACAAAAAAAAAAAATAAAAGGATAAGATTTCATTCCGAATATAGTGTGGAGCCAATTGTGAATTGGCCCAAATTATTAATAAAATCAGTGAGTCTCTAAACCACATATTCCACTTTCCCCTCCTATTACAACCTTAGTCCCAAACACCACTTTGTTAATGTCAATCATCATCATCATCATCAAGAATTGCCTAAAAGTAAAATCCGCAGGTAATAGAATTGTTAAAAGGAAAAAAAGCTCGACCGTCTTCTTCTTCTTCATGAGTGTTAGCAGCAGCAGACGACGACTAAGAATCCATGGCAATAGCTCCGGGCAAAGGCATCAACTTGAGAGGTGACAAACTGGACTTGATTGGGACGTGTGTTTGACCGGTCAACTTCTTCTCCTTCATTACACCCCCAACTATTCCCAGCTCTTTCCTCACCTCATTTGCCAGCTCTATTACATAGTCATCTTCATGCCCTGTTTGTTTGTTTCCCATTTTTTTATTTTCAATACTTTATTTATTAAAAAAAAAAACAATGAAAAAAATGGAACTGTATATTTATATTTACCAATATCAAACAAGGCCTTCTCCAACAAGAAAAGGTAATCCCTGTTATTGCCACATGGACCATTGGCCGTTGCAATTTGCCTAGCCATGTCTTCCAGAGGGGCAGGCCCTAAGTAGTACTTGTTCGATATCTTGTCCGGTGTCGATGTGAATCTGCAGATTACAAACAATTCTTATTAGCAATTACTCCATTTAAAAACAAAAATTTTAAAAAAATTATGAACACGAAAACTACTTACACTATCACACCGGTGACAAAGGGCTCCTCAGAATCACCCTCCTGAATTTCAAGAAAACAGAGCATTTTTAAAAGGTGAACAAATTTTCAAAACGGGTTGACTTTAGGCAACAAGAAGAGTGGAAAGCACGACTTACTTTGTAAAAATCAACCAAAGTCTTGTGGTCATACTCGCATTCTCTTCGCTCTAGATACTGGCGAAAGAACATCGAAAAAGTATACGGAGTGAGTTAACATAATGAAGGAAAATGCAAGAATTGGACATAGTGTATTATATAAAATTATGTCAACATCCGACGAGATGAGTATATATGTTTCGATTGAACAAGTAATTCTAACTAAAAATACCTCAATTGCTGCCTTTTCTTTTTCTGGCCCTCCACGCACGCAATAGGCAGCACCCCACTGAGAACAGAAATACAAGTCAATGTTTATTCTAAATTCTAAATACCGAAAAAGGCATGAACCGAATTAAAGGAAAATTTCTTTAGTATATAGGCAAAACAAAGTCAACTTTTGTTCAACTTGCAACATTAGGCCTTAGGTTTCACGTTTTCATTACCCAATTCAACAAAATTCTTGACGAATTCTTTAGTTTAGCAGTCATTTATTTTTCTAGTTTAAAAAAAATTAAAAAAAAAAAATCAATCTTTTGTGCAGAAAAATATTCAGAACTTACGCAGAGAGTTCCTTCTTGTTCTTCCAAGGTGCAGGTTCTAGCAGGGTGCTCAGGCGTACCTCTGTGATCAATGCATGCTGAAATGGAAATAGATCCAATTAGAGATTACTAAACCAGCAGATCAATAAATAATTACTCTTAATTTGACAAAGATATCAGCACTAATTACCGAGAATTACTTAATACCACAGATCCAAATTAATTAAATCCCAACAAAACCCTAATTGATTTTCATGGAGACCAAATGCATTAAAATTCCTGCGAATCAATATTAGAAAAAAAATAAGCATACCTAAATCGAATACACGCCTATAATCCTTGATAAACCCAACCACTTTCTCATCGACTGGAAACCCAGGGTTCCACACCAACGACCCGTAACCGAAAAACCACAACACCATCTTGTATAAATTTTCCTTTGCGCTTACCAAACAAAATTAAAATTAAAAATTCCTGCGCAGAAATCAACCCATCGAATTCAGTAAGCTCCAATCATCCAAATTCAAACAATGCACAATAGAAAACTAAAAAAAAAAAAAAAATCAATTAACTTACGGATCGGCCGCGCAAACGCAAATGCGAGAAAAGCTGCTCGGAAAAAAAAAAAAAGAGGAATTTTTTTTTCAAAGAGAGGAGAGAATAACGGGATAGATAACGCCGCTAATTAGATTCCGTCTCTCTCTCTTTGATTTGCAGAGAATCTTTTCGGTGGATTGAGGAGGACGATGGAGAAAATTGGGCGAACATGTGATTTATTTATAGCAGGGAGGAAAAAGAACGTGTATTGGATTTTGGGTAGGTCAGTTTTTTTTTTGGCCTTTGGGGGAATTAAATATTATTATTTAATTATAGATTATAGATAGATACATGTTGTAGTATGTATGTGGATGGCATGCGATGATAGATACATACAACATATGCATACATACATACAAGTAATTATATTACATATCCATTTTAAATTTATGGTATGTCTACACAAATTAAAAGTCATATATTCTAAAATGATTTTTTTTATTTTACTTCCATATAAAAAGTTAATTATTATATTACATCATAAAAGGGCAAAATTGGAAAAAATAAATTTAATTTTTGCCTTGAAATTCTAAAATGACAATAAATATATTAGAAAGATTTATAGCTAAAGAAACACTTAACTCATGTTTTGATCTTTATTTATTAATAAATAATATGTTCATGATTCTAATATCGTGTATGTAGTTGTGTTGTTTGTATTAAGTATTTTATTTATTTGGAAATTCTATTTCATCTTATTACAAAAATAAGTAGATATTTACTTTTGATCCAATTTATATGTCGTTCTGTAATTAACTATAATATGAATTTACATAATTATCGGAAAAAAAATTATGTTTCATTATGTATGATATTTGTCTATAAGATGTTATATATGGTGTGATATACTGGATGGTTTTGAACCGTAAATTTATATAAATAACTACCCACTAAACACATATACACATTAGTGTATGTTATTATGTGTGAATTAATGGTTCAAGATTAGCTGGTGTAGCATGTGCAAAATCGTATGGTATGTATGTAATACACATGTATGTATGGTAAAGCATGAAGAGATGAATGATAACATTATTACATTAAATTACATGCCATAAAAGTACATAAAAGTTTGAACAAAACACAAATGTATAGGTACATTGAACCTGGACGTTCTTCTCTTATTACATTCAGTAAAATCATTATCGTACCTAGTTGAGATCTTGAGTTAATGAGGGGACCATGCATTCAAGATTTTGTGTGGGGGTTAAGTTAAAATGTAGGTTTCACAAAAATAAGTTATCATCCATTGAATCTAGACACAATTAATTAGTAGTAATTAGAGGGGGATTAAACACCATAAGATTGGTTAAAAACTATCTAAAATAGGAAGCATTATATTGGTAAAAATAATAATTGAAAGGGTAAATTTGTCCATAGGAAAAATCAATCAAATATACGAGTTAAGGTAAAAATTGAGTAACGGACATTTGGTTATTAAGCTTATAAGTTGCTAAAAAGAGCTTATAAAATGTTTAAAAACTTGTAAATTTTTTATTTAAATACATTTACTCCAGTTTTTTTTTTTTAAATCATATAATGAGTGAAAAATAGTTATAAATCCATTATTCAAAAACTCATCAGTTCTTAAAACAACTTATCAGAAATTCGATCAGCTATTTGAATTTAAAAATTAGTCTAGCCAAACGAGTCATAATGGTCCACGATTCAAAAGTAGATAAAATTAATTAACCGAAAAAAATGGTCAAAAATAGGGTAAATGGATCCATATGAAAAGTAGACTTTCTTGATCCAAATGTTGGGTCCATAATGAATTTATGCCTAGATCCAATTGAAAATTTTGGTAAAACAAAGATCCACTTGAATTTGATCCAAATTCAATATAATTAATTCAATTCTAGTAATTCAAAAAATATAAATAAATAAAATTAAAATTAGGAGTTGTGTGCAAACTCTACATATTGAATTAGGATTTTTATTTTTGTTTTATTTTAGGAGATGGTAAAATATAGAATGTCAACGGGTCAATCTTTGACCACTGACCTGGAATTTTGAATTCTTCTTCTCATCGTGGCGGGCTTGTTCTCACCAAATGGTTATATATTTTTTATTTATTTAATTCTTTTTTAATAAATTGGCCTTATAATATAGTCAAATGTAGAAATAAAGTATAGGCATGTATATTTCTTCTCGATATTCACTTTTCATTATTAAAAAAATAACCCAAATATTTTCGTTATTTTCATTGCAAAACTATCACATTTTTACTTCTTTCGATTAGGGCGGACCCAACCACTAGATCGACAACTTACGTGTTGTCTAGGACACCCGAATTGCAAGTGACTCGTGCACTAATATGACTTTATTTTTTAATTCGATTACATATTTTTCGAGTTCATAAGTCTTCGATTATATTTCTTTACGTTTCGAGTTGTTCTTTCGGGCACCTCTTCGATTATATACATATATATATATATTTTTTTTTATTTATTTGAAATATGCAATAGTTGTAATAGATTAGATAGTGGCGCGTAATTTGTTTCAGCTACATGACCAAGTTGGGCAGTGGGAGTGTAGACAGTAGACTGAGGCTATTTTCAGTTACAATATAAAATCAACCTTTAATTATTAATTAAATATTAAAAAGAAAAAGAAAAAAAAAAGGCTACGGGTGCCAATTGGATCAATTCAGACATAACTTTGACCGGATCTCCGGACCCGGACCCGGACCTGGACCACACTGTGGCAATGCAGATCGAATTTCCATAATGGGTATTCCTTTCGTTCCACAATATCTAGCATTTTTTATATTTTTTTTAGTTCTATATGTCACTTTAGATTTTCAATACTAAATTAATTACATATTTTTCAGTTACGCTTGTATTAATTTTCCAATATTATTCGTCTATTCCTATATTTATTAGTCTAACAATTTTTATAATTTTCTAAAAATCAAGATATATTTATTGAAATTCTTAAGACATGTGCCAAAAAAAAAGGACATCTATATTTAGAAACGAGGGGAATTGTGAATTTCGAAGCAAATATACGAGCGCATCATGCACGTGAGAATATGCTAGTAACTCTAATGGTTATTAATTTTTCTTTTATAATTAAATTTCTCGCCTAATCATGCACAGTATTATGGATTTTCTTAATGA